TAGCACTTATAGTTGAGTCCAGAACGCCAACATCAGCCTTCACTATGCAAATCATTCATTTCAAACCTACTTGGTTTATATACCAGCCAAACAGACCACATCATACCATAAAATAGAAAATAATATTTATATAAGATCAAGCCCAAAGTGGATATGGACTTGGGGAACTGTAATCAATAAACTGAACATAAGAACAGTAAATCGTATAATAATAATAGTCTATAGGTCAAAATAAAGCGTATAATCAGAAGAATATAGGTATATATGATTTAGCTAATGAACAGTTATGCAATATATATATATAATATTGGTCCATTAATAGATCTCAGAAGTTACCCGTAGTTTAGTCTTCACTAGGATATAACCATTCTTTCTTATTGTTATATTCATTTTACGTTATTTGTGTATTTCTATTATCATTAGAATCAGGGATTTAGGGCAGCCATATGTATCAGTAACAATAATTTGGAAGTTTGTACATTGAATCTTTAAAATACAATTACATGTCAAAAATTATTAGGTGGTTGACTACAAGTGATTAGAACATTACAACTAACTTCTATTTTGTTCAAATCTCAACTTTATAAGTGAATTCATGAACATGTGTAAATTGTTTTATCAAGTTTTACTGTTTATCATTGCTATAATAGTAATTATGATTAATAATAAATAAATTTTTAATAGTTTAATTCATGAGTCGATGTAATCTAGACTATCATGGAAAACCTAGAAGCAATGGAAGGCCATTTCATCCTGTTGTGAGACTCCTCGACAGTGAGCATCCACGGTCCCGCCTCGCGAGTTTCGAACGCAGGATATAGCGGTCTCGCATGTGAACGCTTAACCATTAGACCACTGAGCTGGCATCGATCTGTGTTAATGTCTAACTTCAACCAATCCATGAAATTGTGTCACCGACCACCATTGTTTTTAGTGAGTTGCTATCTCACAAGGGACTCGGCTTCTTACTAGAACTTCATGAATTACCTCTTAAAGCCAGTCACCAGTGAGCACATGCTGATTATTATCAGAAAGAGAGTTTTGTCGAGATTGTGGTAATTTAATAGTTGAATTCACCAGTCAATCTATGCTAGACCATCACAGAAGATCGTGGGTTCAAATCCTGCGAGCAGGACTGTGGATGTACGCTGCTGACAAAACGACCGTTCAGTGCTTTTAGGTTTTCCATGGTGGTCTAGCTTTAATCAACTTGTGAATTCAACTATTAAATTACTGAAATCTTCACAAACCCCTTTTCTGAAACACATTCTTGTTACAATCCAATAAACAGAAAAAAAAATTGTATTTCTAACTTTTCGTTTAAACATGTGTTAATTTAATGTCGATTGTTTATTAATTCCGAAGAAGTGGCTTACATTAAGTCACGAAACGTCAGAAATATGACTTTTTCACTCACTGGGATTTAACAAAAATATACTTATTATTAACTCTCTACCCAATGATCAATATATTTCAAACTATCAAGTTCAACCTTTGTATAGATTGTTATTCAATTAAATAGCAAATCCAGTTTTCATGAATCCAATAAAAAGATTTAATGTACAGTTATCAATAATGTATCCTATGAATTTCAATAGTAATACATTTATTAATATACATTTAGTTAAATTGTTGTAGTTCCCCCTGAACATTTTAATGACCACTTATCATATTAGTTACACTGTCGAAAGGAGTACACCAAGTACTGTGTAACTAGGCCTATTTTAGTGTTGTTTTTACCTCTAAAAATAAAAAGATAGTTTTACCACTGTTAACAAATTATCGTCAGGCAGATAATTGTGTTGTTTTTTTTAAGAATTTTACTTTTGTGAAGGAAATAATGAAGAATATTTCACTGTCTATAAAACAATATGGTGATTTTCTTCTAGTCATTAAGTAGTTTTTTTTTTAAAAGACGAGTAAAATATCTTTAACGAAATTCCTCGACTGTTTAAATGTCTATTATCAAACGATATTCTTTTGTTTACCACAAATAGTTCTTAAACTAGTCTTATTTTTTACTATAAATGGTTATTTCATTTACTCATTTTTATTAACTACTTATATTGCATAATAGTACTAAAACAAAATTATGTGAAAATAACAATTAATGTCATAGCTACTTACAAATTGAGTACTTATTTGATAAGAAATTCTTTTAAGTATATTGTGTACAACAGTTTACATTCATGGACTAAAATTCCCGTCTATTAATTCTGTAGGCATAAATTATGCACTTTGTTACCAAAGTCAAATAAATGGGATAGAATATGTTTAGATAATCTAAGCATTAAATAACTTGATTCTATTCAAAGTACTATTTACACTTCAACAATGATATTTCATTAGAAATAAACATGTCATCATCTTATCATGTGAACCGACTCGTTGAATAACGTTTCTGTCATTATTAGGTCCATTCATTTTCATTTCTTAATTCATTACAGTTTGGTTCATGTGTGTTATGTCGCTTAGTTAATCGATTTTATTTATTCAATAAAATGCATAATGATTTATGAAAGATGAAGATTCATTTAAACAGAACAATGATACTCTACAAAGTCTATTTTTGAGGATTTCAAAAGGATGAGAGACTAGACGAACTGATCTTACATTCTGAGTTCAGTTTTCAATCAGTGAACTATTACGCAACCTTCTTTATATGTTTTAAGTCTCAGACCACATTATAAAGCTTTTTTTTTTACAAATACTTTGACTGTATTCATTCGTCAGGTTACATAAAATTTAATATGATATACAGTGCATTGCAAATGTGTTCATGCATCTAAATTATGCAATGTTTAATCATCTTTAACGAACACAAAATTCTTAACGAAAAACGTACATGTCCAAGTAGACAGAGTTGTTTTAAGCAAAGCTCACCAGTTTCCCGAAATGACATTATCGTGTCTTAGACACTAGAAAAACATACATTCCCTTGAGTCATCATTAATTTAACTTCTCCATATTTTAGGTATGTGTTAAAACAAGTGAGTCTTAAGAATCCTATTAATTCAAGTTATGAACTGCTTGAAAGCTAAAATGAGGTAGAACAGTTTAGAAAAACTGCCGTTCTTAAAAATTATATGAGGTAGATTTGTTTTCAGTAAATAGCACTTCGTGATCGACTGTTGTAACACAGCCCGAGAATGCAAAGTTCTATATCCAAGACCAAAGTAACAAAAGATTCTTGAAAAATTATTGAAAGTATAGTAACTTAAGTAGCTATGCAGCCCTCATTCATTTTGTCCATTTGGATCTTTTTCTTTAAAACATCCTTTGAGAATGCTATTACCGACACAATATCCATCTAAAGTTTCAACAGGGACAAAACAGTGGGCCAAAAATATCATTTTATGTCGAAAAATAGTCATCATCATCTTCACTATTGTCAAAATCGAAAGATTTTTCAAAAGGTGATTCGGGTGTGACATAATGGCAAATAACCTGCAGATGAAAACCTAGGTACTGTAAAGTAAATTTATCGGGAGAACCTTGGAAGAACGCTACTAGTGTAGACTGAATAAAAATCCCTTCACATGCACCTTTTGGATGTAGTCGAAGATTATATTTTAAAAGCTATAAAAGCTGAACTCCCATTTTCAGACCCTCCCTTTGACAAGTATTTGAAAATGTGACAGATAATCTTAGAAAGATCTTCAGGTAAACCCTATTCAGGAACCCGTTATAATGTACGACTCCCCGGTCTTCTACATCAACGTAAGAGAATTCAGAGTCGAAATCTAGAATGCTAACATCTACATGTGGACATCGAGCCACATGTGTAGATAGTAACATCAATTTGACGTTAACTACAATGAACTAATCACATAGGTCAGTGCTCCATATATCAATGCACCACATCTAAACAAAAAGATGTTTCTACAGATCCGATTATCCAATTTAGGAAGCTACAGTCGTGAACACAATGTTTAAACAAGAAATAAGAACGTGAGGAATATGTAACTGTGTTCTTGTGAAACGTGTACTTGTAAAAATGGAAATTGGTGTGGTGATAAAAGAAATAAATTAAGAATCAGAATGGAAAGCTAGAAAAATAAATAGGCAGTCACTCTTGGTTTTCCTAGCAAATGTAAGTATGAGGATTAAATATATATTATGAATTTTTGTTAGAATATTCAGTGAATGGTCTTAATCTACAGTAACTGTGGTGTACCAAAAATATATTTCCAGTATCTTTGGAGCTCACACTAGTGCTACTCACACCTAGTGGTTCTCCTTAATTTCAGTAAGTGTTTGATTGAGCACTTAAGTCAGTTTCTTAGAACCCTTTGAACGGCTTTGCGAATAGTTCCTTTATTTTTTACAATCACCATCGGTTTATAACGACATCCGTTCTGGAATTTTTAAAAATCGATCTAGATATCCTCTAATTAGGAGCTGGGTCAAAGGGACATAATTTTATGATAGTACCTCGTCAGTGACCGTGTTACTAACCACAGTTCACACGCTAGTTAGCTGTTGGTAATTACATTCCACCAAGTAGTTGTTTGCAGGGAGGCAATCGAGTCATGATTTAATCTGTCATACCCAACTAACTGTCCTTCTTGATTTAGAAAACTTAAACGTATTTTGTAGTGTTTCGTAAATCGTGTCCATAGACGGTACAAAGATTCAAGAATACGTCACTATAGCTTCGGCACAGATGGACTGATTTCAGGAAGATACTGTGGGATGGATACATACTGTTCCTATCCATGCTGAAACAGCAAAAACTAGATACCAGGGTGTAAGCATCTTAACTCTTAGTTGGAATGCGTTAATAACCTCACTCTTAATGTGCATTCCTTATCTCGATCGTTCATCATTATACAATTCATTAACTCGGTGACCTAAACTTTCAGTTCTGACAGTCATTTTTACATGATGCAAATTAAAAACTGATATGATGCTAAATGTAACTCAAAACCTGTGAAATCATTATGAAACTCGTGGATTTTTAATTGATTCTTGGTTTTGTTTAATCGTTTCCAATACAGCTTTACATAGGTTAATTGTCTTGGAGCTGCCGCTAGTTTGACCAATCAGAATAATGGATCACGATGAGGATAGCAGTGATAGAGATTGCGGTCTTGTTGAATCTGATGAAGAAACTCGAATGGCTGAGAAGGAGTTGGCTGAGGATGCACAATGGAAAATATTCCAGAAAAACACTTTCACGCGTTGGGCTAATGAGCATCTGAAAAAAACTGATCTTCGTATTGAAGATTTAGAGACTGATTTGAGTGATGGTCTTCGTCTAGTTGCTCTTGTCGAAGTTTTATCAGGACATAAGTTTCGACACATTAACAAAAGACCAACGTTCAGAACTCAAAAGCTCGAAAATGTAACTACTGTTTTAAGATATCTGGAAGAAACTGAAGGCTTGCGCCTCATCAGTATAGGTATCTATGGAAATAAACCTTTTAACCAGTATTTCAGACAGCAGCCATATTGTTGATTGCAACTTAAAGCTCATACTTGGTTTAATCTGGACCCTTATTTTACATTACTCTATATCTGTACCTCTAATAGCAGATGAAGAAAACGTTCTCCAAGTAAGTGGTAAATATGCTTTTTTGATTTTGAATTTTCGGTTAGTACGAAATATCTATTTTTGCATGAAATATTCACGAACATTTCTGTCTGTAGCCTGTTTATGACCAAATCACGTTTCGCTACATCTTATTCTGTCTAACACCCAGTAGAATGTTGATTTATAGAACCATCCACTGTTCTTTTACATCACTCAATATCTTAAGATGCGATGTAGTAGCTTTGTAACGGGTAAAGTTTTTGATTGACAAAGACCAAAATCAGTCTTAATTTTTCCATCGCTAACCACTATAATCGATGTCGATCAAATGAGTCTTTGTTTGCTGTTCGCTTTATCTTCAGTGGCAATTTGTTAACTCGACCGTATGATCTATGGTGTAGCCTTAATTGTTTGAAAACTTGGTTTTTAATTTCTATTACAGTGATTTTTTAAAAATTAAGTATGTTTTTTGGTTATTTAATTGTCATTATACTATATTCTGAACCCAGCTATTAAATTCAGATGTTTAGATCTCAGTTGGCTGGCGACAAGTAGTCAGTATCCAGGCAGTAATGACGGGGTTTTCATGTTTTGATTCTGATCCAGTGTAATCCAAACTATATTCCAATAAATTGCCTTTTATTTGTTAACAGGATGATAGAAACCAAACTCAGGGTCCTAAACAGCGTTTGCTCGCTTGGGTCAAACAGAAATTGCCAATAATCCCAATTCGAAATTTCACCACAGATTGGAATGATGGTATAGCTATTGGAGCTCTCGTTGATGCTTGTGCTCCTGGACTTTGTCCGGATTGGCCTCACTGGGATCAGCAAAATCCTTTGCGTAATGCCACGGAAGCTATGACAGCTGCAGATGACTGGTTATCTATCCCCCAGTTAATTCGGCCAGAAGAAATGATTGATCCTAATGTTGATGAAAAGTCCATGATGACTTATATTAGCCAGTTTCCCAATGCTTGCTTAAAAGAGGGTGCACCACTGCGAGCTAAACTGAATCCTTCGAAAGTACGCGCATATGGTCCAGGTAAGTTTGGTTCATCTTTTTATATCTATCTAAACCCGAATTATACTCGTCTACATTATGTAATTCCAGACTTCATTAAACTATGAGTTACCGTTAGTGATGTTGTTTCACGAGTTATACGCAACTCATAAGTATTAAGGTTTTTAATCCTTCCATTCTATTTGCTTTTATAGTAAATCAAGTATCCCAAGTTAGCTAAACAGAAGTCACCAAATGTCTTTGTTTGACAGCATATTCATATACATATTGTAGTTTAAACAAGCAATATTAATTCAAGTTGTTTCCAACTTTTATAAACACAGACTCAAAGCACAAATTGGTTTTACACTCAATAATTGACTTCTATAGAGGATAAATCTCAATTATATACTGTATATTTTTTGGTAATAACGTTTTCTGGATGATTTGCTGATTTCACTCAATGCCTACTTTGGGCCATAGTGTTGATAAAGACGCAGAAAAAAAGTGTGTTGAACTGTTTCCGTTATTTTCTCAATACTTGTGACCAACTATATAGGAAATCAAGCGTGGCAAGTTAGGCTACCTAAGGCACTATAGAATTTACCTTGTTTTATTTTGCACATAGTATCAAATAATACTATTGCATCAGAGTTGTATAAAATCCACTGTTAACGTCATAATTTGTAAATATTTGATACTGACAAAACAGTAGCGCATAAAGTAATTCTCTGTACCGGTTTTCATTGATCATATAATTTAGCTGTCAAGCCAATAATCACACCTAAGAATATACACATGTTCAAATCCGGCAGGAGTTTTACTCAACAACACATTGTCATCTGATTCTAAGTATCGTTGCCTTCAACAAGCCGTGACTAGTTTAACTATTTGTGAGTCTTCACGTATCGTATTAACTAGATTATCGAATCAGATGGCAATTAAAAGTTTGGTAATTTAAAACTTTAGAACATAAACTTTTGTAACTGAATTTTGGTGGACGTTTGGTATAAACGGTGTCTCCGACCACCGAGTACTTCACTATTGCTTTTATTACTTACTCCTAATGGAGCATAGGCCGCCGACCAGCATTCTCCAACCCACTCTGTCCTGGGCCTTCTTTTCTAGTTCCATCCAATTCTTGTTCATTTTTCTCATGTCTATTTCCATTTCACGGCGTAATGTGTTCTTTGGCCTTGAGGATCGCATGTGAGGGCTTGCCTTGTGATGCAGTTGGGTGCTTTCCTCAGTGTGTGTTCTATCCACTTCCAGCGTTTCTTCCTAATTTCTTCCTCCGCTGGGATCTGGTTTGTTCTCTCCCACAGTACGTTGTTGCTAATAATGTCCGGCCAACGGATCTGAAGTATTTTGCGTAGACAACTGTTAATAAACACCTGTATCTTCTGGATGATGGCTTTCGTAGTTCTCCAGGTTTCCGCCCCATACAGTAGAACTGTCTTGATATTTGTATTGAAATTCCTGACCTTGGTGTTGGTTGACAGTTGCTTTGAGTTCCAGATGTTCCTCAGTTGTAAATATGCTGCTCTTGCTTTGCCGATCCGCGCCTTCACATCTGCATCAGATCCACCCTGTTCATCAATGATGCTGCCCAAATACGTAAAGGTTTTTACATCCTCCAAATCTTCTCCGTCAATTGTGATTGGATCGGTGCATTCTGTGTTGTATCGGAGAACCTTGCTCTTCCCTTTGTGTATATTGAGACCTACTGCTGCTGCTACACTGTTCGTCTTCTCCTGCATTTGTTGTTGCGTTTGGGATAGAAGGGCCAGATCATCTGCGAAGTCCAGATCGTCCAACTGCATCCTAGATTTCCATTGTATCCCGTGTTTCCCTTCAGATGTTAACGTCTTCATGATCCAATCGATAACCAGGAGAAAGAGAAAGGGTGAGAGTAAGCAACCTTGCCTGACACCGGTCTTTATTTCGAACGACTTTGTCAACTGTCCTCCATGCACGATTTCGCAGTGTAATCCATTATATGAATTCTGTATGATATTGACTATCTTCTGAGGCACGCCGTAGTGTCGGAGAAGCAAGAAATTATTCAAAATTATTGCTTTTATAACCATCCCTAAAACAAACAGCCATGTTTCTCTACCCTTCTTATCTCATTCTAACTCAAATTCTTTGTATCTTGAACTTTTTTCTATATATTTATAACTGTTAGGCTTGGAATCAAATGAAAATAGAATTGGTACACCGGCTAAATTCTATGTAGAAACAGCTCATGCTGGCAGAGGTCAGTTGGAAATACTTGTAATCAATTGCAGAGGTGTCAGAGAAACGGTAAGTATTAGTAGTTTTCATGTTTAACACCATAAGTTTTCACTCTTATTATGTTTAAGAAATCTGATGATTAGTTGATGGTAGTTAAATGTCATAGTTTTGCCAATAATCGAAGAACTTTTATGCATTCTTGAAATCCATTGCAATTTATTCATGACATGCAACATTTCACAATATGAGTAGGTTAACTATTTCGTTCTCTTTTCTTTAAATATGTGGTACTAACTTTGACTAAAAGTTCGGTAAAATTGCAGTGGGCGTTACAAGATGTGGGTAGCTGTGAGTCATCACTAAAAGCTTTTAAAATCTTTTGTTCATCAATAGGTAATAGTTAAAACGAGTGTGAAGTGTAAACAAAACTTAAATTGAACTAAGCTCGAACTCTACAGAATAAGAAATAAAGATTTTTTAGAAGGGATAATCTCTTTTAATTTTGTTTTAGTGTGAAGTGATTTTCGACAATGAAACAAATCAAACTTACTCCTGTGTGTATGAACCACGTTTAGAAGGTGAATATCGTATAGTTATAAAGTATGGTGGACATGAGATACCTAATTCACCTTTTCGTGTTAATGTCAAGGGAATATTTTTAGACCCAAGTAAAGTAACTGTAAGCGGTCCAGGACTACAAAATTCCGAAGTCAATTGTGTTGGTCGTCGTACTCATTTTAATGTACATACTCAGAGTAAGTTTGTCTTTTTATTGAATTATTACATCTCATATACTATAAATGATACTGTTCACTGAAGTTTTGTACTCTTTGAAAAATCAATGATGCGAATTTTTCATTTATGAATAAATTAAATATGCTAATAAATACTAACGTGTAAACTTCATACCATTATTCAATAATTCGTCTATTTGAAGAAAAAAAATGAGAGTTGGACTGCGCTCCAATTCACCATGAATAATCAAATTTGTTTGAAAATACTATGTAACTTGCATGAAGCACCTTTCAATCTTTTAAGATGCTTCAAAAATGTAATAATTTAGTGCAAAGTACTTATATTTTAAGAAAAACGTGAAATATAGATTAAAGTAACTGATTGTAATAGTATTATCTTTAACTCAGTTTTATGTTGGTCCGAAATCGTTGGTGTGTGATTTTTCGCCATTTGCAATTATTTACATCGGTCATTTGACAACTTATAACCCGTATTACTAAATTTGTACTAGTGACTTCGTATTGATGCTGTTAGTTTTAATCTGATTAATACAACCTATCTCACTAACCTCATATTTCCTCATTAATGTATAACGTAATGATACCGCCAATTAGAGAACAGTGAATTATCGATCGGACCACTGGCGCATAAAATTTGTACGAGCAGTTTAGAATCCTTATCGGTCCTGCTTCTGCCTAGTCCAGAACACCAATCTCAGCCTGTGCGATACGAATAATTTATTTCAAACATGCTAGGTTTATATACCAACCAAACCACATCGTACCATAAAACAGGAAACAACATCTGTACAAGATTTAACCAAATGTGGCTATGAATGTGGGTATAACTCAAGAATGGTATGTTGTATAGTAATAGTTCATATGTCAAAACAAAGTTCATAATAAGAGGGACACGAATATGAATAGTTTAGTTACTTAACAATTATACGATAAAAAAATATACGTATAGTAATAGTCCAGAAATAGATTCCAACAGTTACCATTCATTATTCTCATCAGGATATAACAATATTGATACGTTTACACATATGCTGACAAAATCAAACAAATTAAAATTATCAATGGACAAGCTTTAGCATTTCAAAATGTGAGTGAACATTCAAATCCAGGTATTTGCTCGTCTCAGCGTGTTTGCTATTTTATCATCTTTTGGATGCACTGTAGTACTTAATTCCGAAATTCTCAACTGATATCGTCAAATATATTTATCAATATCTATTATTTCTGTCCTTATAAGTTAGTTTAGTTAATTATGAAATATAAAGCTCCAATCGCGTGATATTAACAACCATTTACTAATTTCATATATGCTCATATTTACTAATCAAAAATATTTGTCTATAAAGGAAACAAAGCAATTTATTATACACGATCGACCAACTATATGTTTTTACGATCTTCATACCTATACAACTTCACTTTTTTAGATGCTGGAAATGGAATAGTAGACTGTTACATTGTTGATCCACACGGCCGAACTGATACAGTCAAACCACGTATTACTTGCCCCGGTGGTGATGGGTGTTTTATTGTTGAATATACACCAAAAGAAGTTGGTGTCCATCAAGTATTTGTACAGTTTGCGGAGAAACAGATACCTAATTCACCATTTCAAGTTGAAATAGCACCTAGTACGTTTCACATTGTGTTGTTTACTATATTTTGAAAGTGAATATTTTGTTCATCTAAATTGGTTATCATTTAGAAGCTTAATTCAATCATTACATAGTTATTGTTTTATTCAGGAGAGTCTGGTAAAGGTAAGTTTTAATAGCATGTTACCTTCCTCACTTTACATAGAAAAATCCATCGTTTTTTTATTATTTAAAGACTTCATATTGCGATATGATATGATACATTTCTCCGCACCTAATGTCATATGTATGCTTATAAGTCATTCAGAATCCATCCCTTTATAATATACTGTATTTGTTTGTAAGTAATCATATTAGTTGACCTTATTTGGTCGTTTTTCTTCATCCTTTTCTTATCAAACTGATATTTGCATTTCACTATTCATTTATATTATAAAGTTGTTTTTAGGCGTTGTATCTGCTTATATTTACGTTTGTAATTCCGAATTACAAATGACTAGTACTCATTATTGTATCGGTAAAATTGGTCTCCAATGTCAATATTATATTGGTTTTTGTTTTTGTTGTCAACATTTCTAGTGGATGTTTCATCAAAATGATAATACTCATTCTGTATATCTCATTTCCTGTATATATATGCTGTCATTTGTTGTTAAAATTACATGTTTATGGGAATTTATACCGTTGAAATTGTACTGTTTTCTGATTGTGAATAGTTCTTGAAGTCCGGTTTTACTTATATTTAGATTAATAAACTTCAATTTAACCTAAAACAATACTATTTCTAGTGGAGTTTATAATTTACTCGTTTCTTTGTTTGAAAATTTGAATTAGCTGCAGCAATCGCTGCTCTTTCAGCAGTTATACAAAATTCAACATTCAATCAAAATGCCAAACAATCTATGCCTAATGAAGTACCGGAAATAAAGAACACTTCAAGACAGAATGGTTTTCATGAAAATCATGATGTTGCTGTTGTGGAAACATTTGATAATATGAAAGTAGAAAATGGAACTGACTCATCTGATTCTTTATTGATGAATTCATCTGAACGTAAAAATGAAAAGAAACAGTTAATTGATGATCCTGTCAAAGAAGAATCATTTATACACGAAATAATTGAAGGTGACATAAAAAAAACTGCCTGCCCACTTGCATGTACATTATTATTATATATGTGCATGCGTATTACTGGAAATTAATGTTTCTATGCATGATACCTGTTCTATCTACACACAGTTTTTATTGTTTTTATATAAATAAAGAATTTATTAAATGTTAATTTTTCTCACATTTCAGAAGTTCATCCTGAGTTAGCTTATGCTACTGGAAGAGGTGTACAAGCTCGTGGTATACGTGTACAAGATCGAGTGAAATTTTCTGTTCATACTGAACGAGCTGGTGATCAAGCTCCACTTGCAGTTACAATGACTCGTGCAGGTATATGAAATACTGACTTTGAATTTTATTACTAAATTTTCTGGTTAATTTCAATTATAGCTGTGTTATTCGAAGTCGAGTTGAGTTTCGATAGCTTGAATATTATAAGTTTACAAGCACTTATACTTCATTGACTTTGCATTTCATCACCTGTCTAACGATACATTCATGTGTGAAGCGTGACAATACCACTCAGCAGGCCAAACGAAAGTCGGTATTGCGGAACTCAAATTTGCGATCTATTAGTTGAAAGTTGATTACCTTAGTCATTACGCCACCTCTTTAGTTAACTTCATATCAACCATTATATAATTTCATCGAACTTTATTTTAAACATCTGACACTCGAATAATAAATAATCATTAGTCCAATTATTTGTTTGCTTACAGTTCACAAAACATAATTTACTTTTCAAAACTGATAATTTCTTTATAAGTGTTAGTAATAATAGGCAGCTAGTAAGTGAGTAGTCGGATTTCAACGACAATTTACAATAAAATATATCACTTCACATATTTTCAATGTGACTTAACTTTGCCCTTATAACCTAATATAAATAAGTAAATAAATAGTAAGCCAATATCTATTTATAATCTTGTTTTAAAAAAATAAATAAAAACATTACGTGATTTTTGTTTTGTTTAGGTGAATGTTGTAAATAAAACAAAACTCAAATAGAGTTCAAGAGATAGATAATATTAGACGCATATTGTTAAAATGCAAATATTGTCACCTTAAAAAAATGAAACAGAATATACTCTACTTACATGTTTATGTTTCATACTATTATTAATGTGAATATTAAAGAGTTTTCATAGACTTTAAATCATGAACCGATCTTAGTTAAACCACCACTGAAACCTGAAAGCACAAAACGGCCATTTTGTCCAAATGTGGGGTTTCTCAGGAGTAAATTCATTACTCAGCATCCGGCAATCGAGCCCACGGCCTTAGTTTCCGTGCGCAGATGCTTAACCCCTAGAGCAATGAGACGGCGTTCAACGGTGTTAATGTTTCACTCCAATCAATTCACGATATTGCGTTACCATCTGTCTTCTGATGTAGATAATTATCACACCCTTCCACGATAATACTCACTAGTGACTCAGTCAGTCAGTAACAACGTAGAACTTCGTATGTACGTACAACAGTTCGAGTTGCCATACCACACTTGAGCAGAGATGCAGTGGTCGATTCAAATCCCGTAGTGCTAGATGTAGTAAAATTATAAGCTGCGATCAGAAAAATTAGGGTTTGAAGATGTTATTCAAGGAGTATAATCCAGTGGAATAAATTTGGAAAAAGAAAAAAGAAAGGCACATGAAGAATTCAGAAGATTAGAATTTGGGAGAACGCAAAGAGTGGACGCACCTGCACCATCACAAACGATTTTGAGCCATGTCATTCAGGGTCATCAATTGATTTGCCATCCTTACCTAGTATTCGTTTCCTAACAACTGCATTCCTTACTCGATGGTCCCAGGATATACGAGCAATATTTCGAAGACACCTATGATCAAATACTAGTAACCTACGGATATCCTCTGCTCTTACCGGCCATGTTTCACTGCCATAAAGTAGGACGGAACGAACTGCTGCGCAGTAAACACGTCCTTTGGTTAATAGACGGATATCTCGCGTACGCCATGATTGACGCAAGTTGGCAAAGGCTGGTCGAGCCTAGTGACTAGCCTCATATGTTCCTCGTTTTCAATTTTTCTTAATAATTTGCCTATAATAATATGTAAAGAGGTATATAGTTTTATGCTTGCTAAGAGAAAACGCTCCTGTTTGATGTGAGTGTACATGTAATGCAAGGAAGTATGTCTGGGATCATATAATGGAATCAGTTGTGTCGATGATAATTTTATGGTTTACATCATTTATTGATCTAAGATAATCACTAGAAACCATGAAGCATTGAAAAATCGTTTCATTATAATACCAGACTTTTCAGCTGTACGCATCCGTGATCCTACCGAATATCAAACTTAAAACCATCAGGTTATTAACCTAACATCTAGTGATCTTCATATCTAACCTCAACTATTGGTTGCCAATAGTTTTCTATCAAATGTGTAGTGACGGAGTTTTTCTGACCCTTAATTGAATTGATAACCTTTTGAACATTATGACAAATTTACCTTCCAATCGTTAGACTTTGATTTGTTTTAAAATGCGATAAATTCATTTTGATTCAGTTCATTATTGTTACAGGTTAAGTTTCCTCTTATCTTTCACAGTAAATGCTTTAGATATAATAAAAATTGAATATAAAATTAAAAAAATGTTACACAATTTTATTCTCTCCATCCTGAATTTTTCATTTTTTTTAAAAATTGTTTTCCTACAAACAAAAGATGGTCAAAGTGAACCCGTGGAAATTCATCAGATTGATAAGTTTTTATGGGATTGCTTCTACAGTCCACAGCGACCTGGGAAGTACACACTTAATGTACGCTATGGCAATGGACATATTCAACATAGTCCTTATACTGTAAGTATTACACCTGGTCAGTAAAAGTATGCTTCTTTTTGTATATTCCTCACCAAGAAATTAATTTTTCTGTTTAACCACACAATTGTTGGGGAAAATGGATGGCAAAATAAGTATGCGCCACACAATAGGAAAATGCGATTGTGCAGAGGCACATGAAGGAAGGTAGACACAACAGAAAAAAACTATAACTCAATAAAAATTAGTGAACGAGATTAGTAAATCATTGGATAAACAGTTCAGTTAAGAAAAATTCAACTGGAAAAAAATCCTTTTAGTTATTGAAGTTTCTAAGAGTTATAAGTAGAGATGGATAGTGGCTAGCAATGGAACCCAAAAAATGCATCTCGTCCTATTTAGAGCCTGTCAGCTAGGTGTACCTGCATCCCAGAGATACATTCAGCTGACACGTCCTGGGTTCCACTGCTATCCATCATTCATCTCTGCTTAAAATATACAATCTAATCATTGTATATTTCTTAGCTGTTTTTGAATTCTGTCCGATTGATATTGTGACAATTATTCAATGAAATAAATTTATGTATCAACCTTCGAAACCGTATCAAAACAAAAACCGAGCTTACTCATGATTACACATACAGATTTATACATTCCAGTATTGTGTTGCTATGTGTGTAGTTATAACGAAATATAAATTAATTATTTGTTTTTGATTTCGTACTTTCTACTCTTTCTCTCTCTCTCTCCCTCACTCTCTCACTCTCTATACATATTGTGTGCTATTGATATGATTTTTTCTCAGCTTGAATTAAGCAATACTGTTTTTTTTGTCAATCCAAAATGTTACTATTGTATCATTGTAAATTACAAAAGTTCATATGTGTTTTTTTGTGTCTGTTACGAAAGTCTTAATACAAACTCGACTGAACATATTTTAATCTATGATAGTGTTTTGTGTGCTAGAATGTCTGCACTTCATTGAATGTCTAATGTACTAGACTGTTAATGTGTATAGAAACATTTTTTATAAAATTATCTCTGACTAAATTCATTTTGTATTGTTTGTTTGAATCGTCATATTGATGTTTAAGACTGTAATTGATCAGTCTCTTATTGGCGTATGTGCATGCTGTACAAATTGCGTCGATATTGCCTTAAGTCACAAGGATTCTATGCAAACATGGATAATGGCTAACAATGGAATCCAGGACATGTGTTTCATCTTATTTGGGACATTTATTCCAGTGTTGATGTTCACTCCGAGACTCGAACGCGATGGCGCTTGAAGTGAACAATACTGGGTTCACGTGTCGGAGTAAACATCAACTCTGAGATGCAGGTACATTTAATTGATGAGTCACGATTGGGATGAAACGCGCATCCTGCATCCCACTGTTAGCCAACGTCTATCTCTAATTAGTTCCCATTGTTTAAAATATTATAGAAGTCAAATATGTAAAGATAATTATCACTAATGTTTGATGTTAGAGGAAATGTTAAAAATTAGTGAGACGTTAATCTTATTTGTTATAATTCATTAACTGAACCAAATTCAATTAATATGACGACTAATAATCTCATTGTTACATCATCAGTATGACTATATACTGAAAGATTTCAGGCTGTTTTTATACAACTGTATCTCCCTATTTTGATATTCTTTTCATACCAGGTATATCAATATAGATTTTGACACAACTCTCCATTAGTTTGAGCTACTATGCTACATTAGCACTATGAAATAAAATTTGAGTATTGTTATTGTTATACTTTTAGCAGTGTAGTGAACGAAGACTTGGTGGGGTAAACTAATTTGTTATTTTCTGCAAAATCACAGTATGCCTTTGTAAAATAGGAAAATCTCACATTAAATACATCATTTATATATCTTCCTTCAGTTTTCCTTTACGTAATTCATCACTCTTCTTATCCTGTTATTATTCCGACTGCTGTTCGTCTTTTCTTCTTCTATTTTTTTCATCTTTCCTCTGGTAAGCTTTCCATTTCTAATTTGTTATATGCTACTTATGTCTGTACACATAAGTAGTACACACCACATTAGTGCTATTTTCAAAATTATAAATGTAGGACGTTGTGGTAAATGTAAAACACAGTTCGTTGATGATATATGCTTAATTAAGAAGTTATGAAATGTCAAGTATATCGCTTCAAAATTCTCTTGAATTTATACTATATCATTTACTTACTTACACCTGTTACTCCTAATGGAGCATAGGCCGCCGACCAGCATTCTCCAACCCACTCTGTTCTGGGCCTTCTTTTCTAGTTCCATCCAATTCTTGTTCATTTTTCTCATGTCTATTTCTATTTCTCGGCGTAACGTGTTCTTTGGTCTTCCTCTTTTCCTTTGGCCTTGAGGATTTCATGTGAGGGCTTGTCTTGTGACGCAGTTGGGTGCTTTCCTCAATGTGTGTTCTATCCACTTCCAGCGTTTCTTCCTGATTTCTTCCTCCGCTGGGATCTGGTTTGTTCTCTCCCACAGTACGTTGTTGCTAATAATGTCCGGCCAACGGATCTGAAGTATTTTGCGTAGACAACTGTTAATAAACACCTGTATCTTCTGGATGGTGGCTTTCGTAGTTCTCCAGGTTTCCGCCCCATACAGTAGAACTGTCTTGACATTTGTATTGAAAATCCTGACCTTGGTGTTGGTTGACAGTTGCTTTGAGTTCCAGACGTTTATCAGTTGTAAATATGCTGCTCCGCCTGGAGCCCCTCCGGGGGCTACTGCCGGTTTCAAGCCCGAATAAAGGAGGAGGGTTGAGTATGGGGTTAGCGTCTCCATCCCGTAGAAAACTAACTCGCTAAAAAGACGCTAACCAGAACAAAATATTCGAACCTTTCAATACTATATCATTGTTAGTTATATATCCCTTAAAATGTTGATATATATTTGTGTATGAGATTTTCTGTCTTTATATTATCATAGTATCAAGTACCGTCACAAATGCATCATTGTCACATAAATTTAAGCTGATATTAAATTAGACTATTAGTTAACCAACATCATAAAGTGTATTTTATGTATGTATGCAAAATTTAATCAGTATTTTATGTATTGTATTTATTTTTCTTGCAAATAAACAGTCTTATTTTCGGCTTCAATATAATTAGTTCATCTTTTTTCCGTATACATCAGATTTACATATTTTGAAGTGACAGATAATTCCCATTTAAACATTAAAATTAAAACACGAAGTTCAGCGATTTTATTATCAAGCTGTACAATCGTATATATATGGACATTTTTTATTAAAGTACTAATTCCGTGAGGAAATGTGAACAAAGAACAACCAAGATGATGTAATAGAAAGATTACAATACTCGATTACGTAATACGAATAACAACATTAGATTTAGCGAATATAATACGATGATGTTTTTGTCATAATAATTAAAGGTCATAGAGGTGTAAAAATAAATAAGAGGTGATATGATGAGCATTTACGAATAAAACAATGAGAATATAAGTTGAAATCATGAGTCAATTGAAGCTAGACCACCATGGAAAACCTGGAGGCACTGGATGGCCGTTTCGTCCTAGTGTGGGGCTCCTCAGCAGTGCGCATCCACGAACCCGCCCTCGTGGGATTCGAACCCAGGACCTACTGGCTTCGTGTGCGAGCATTTAACCATTAGACCACTGAGCGGCATCCGACGGTGTTAATGTCTAAATTCAACCAATCCACGAAGTTGCGCTACCGTATACCATTGTCTTCAGCCAGTAGGTCCTGGGTTCGAATCCCGCGGGGGCGGGTTCGTGGATGCGCACTGCTGAGAAGTCCCACACTAGGACGAAACGGCCGTCCATTGCTTCCAGGTTTTCCATGGTGGTCTAGCTTCAATTGACTCATGATTTCAACTTGTGAAATTTCTAAAAATTTCCACAAAACCCATTTTGATAATGAGAATATAAGGCATAAGTAAAGGGGGAATGCAGTAATAATAATAATAATAATAATAATAATAATAATAATAATAATAATATTAGGATAATCAAAATAATTAAGGCCAAGGTAACGATAACGACAAGACGTACTTCTTTTGTATGCATAGTTTTGGTGTAAGCTGCTGAATGGTAATAGCTTCGGCTATTCTTGAGAGTTGGATAAGAAGAAATCTGGGTAGATTTGAACGAATCATATAAACAACCTTAAAATCAATTTGTGGATCTGTAGAATGGTTACAGTCGATTAGGTGTTTAAGTATAGAACTCATGACTTTTTATACTTTGCAGTTAAATTGTATTCTACCCCGATCGTCTATTTCATAACATATTCAGAGTGCATGAATTGGACATTTTAGTAACAAATTAACTGAAATCTATCGGCTAGTCAAACCCAATTATTTAGTTGCCTCATTTCTTCCGTTTACTGAACTGAGCGTATAATTTGTGTATTTTTTTTGCCCGAATATTTTACATTGAATTTATGCTTTTCTCTGTTTGTAGATTGTTGTAGGTCCACATAAGAAATCTGCTATTCGCGCTTTTGGACCAGGCTTAGAAGGCGGTGTTGTCAATCAACCCAATTTATTTACAATCGTGTGCAATGGAGATGGTTCTGGATTAGGTTAGTTGAGTTGTTTTTTTGCCTCAACTATTTACTGTCTCATTGAAATCATGAACCAATCTCAGACAATCACTGAATATATTGAAAACACGAAGTTCAACGAAGGAACCTCTTTTCAACGAACTTATTATCAAGCTGTACAATCGTATATATATATATATATATATATATATATATATATATATATATATATATATATATATATATATATATATATATGAAAATAATTTGTTAAAGTACTAGATACGCGAGGAAATATGAACAACAAGATGATGTAATAGAAAGATTATAATAATAGATTACGTAATAAGAATAATAACAATAGACTTAATAAGTTAGTAACGAATTATAATGTAAATGTAGTAAGATGATTAAAATATTTTTGTTACAGTAACTAAAGGTCATAGAGGTGTAGAAAATAAATAAGGTGATATCATGAGCAATTATGAATAAAATAATGAGAATATGAGACATAATTAAAGGGAGAAATGCAGTAATAATAATTATTAACGATAATGATAAGACGCGCTTCTCTTGTACGCATAGTTCTGGCTTGAGCTCATTGATGGTAAGAGCTTCGGCTATCGTTAGGAGTTGAATACGAAGAAATCTAGGTTGATTTGGACGAACCGCATATACAACCTTAAAATCGAACTGTGGATCAGTAGAATGATTACAGTCGACTAGATGTTCAAGTATAAAACTTCTAACTGCTTCCCTTTCACCATTGTAGAACCACACTGGGATATGTTCCCGTATCCGAGTTGAAAGAGAGCTCTGGCTACGGCCAGTCTACCTTGTTCCCCAAGAGTAAGTGAACTGGTAGGTGCACATGCAGGCAATCAGACGGGAAGCTTGCCTTTTATGGATACAGAAAATAAATTCCTACTGGTGAAGGTTATTCGCAGCTTTGCTGCATAGAATGTTCTTTTTATCTCTGTCGTTAAACTATCTTTGATTACATCAGATGTTCGATCACCTTTAAATTCCAAACCTATATTAAGGTTGTTCTTTGGGACGGAACAGCCGGATTCCTTGTCAGGACTATTTCTCTTCATATTCTTATCTATGAAGCGGTCTGGTTAGCCATTTTTTATGAGTTTTCCTGAGGAATGCGAGTTCTTCGTCAATGGATTCCGTACTAAATATCCGGTGTATTCGGTAACATAAAGAGTGAATAAGATTTCTTCAACCTAGATTTCTTCGTATTCAACTCCTAACGATAGCCGAAGCTCTTACCATCAATGAGCTCAAGCCAGAACTATGCGTACAAGAGAAGCGCGTCTTATCATTATCGTTAATAATTATTATTACTGCATTTCTCCCTTTAATTATGTCTCATATTCTCATTATTTTATTCATAATTGCTCATGATATCACCTTATTTATTTTCTACACCTCTATGACCTTTAGTTACTGTAACAAAAATATTTTAATCATCTTACTACATTTACATTATAATTCGTTACTAACTTATTAAGTCTATTGTTATTATTCTTATTACGTAATCTATTATTATAATCTTTCTATTACATCATCTTGTTGTTCATATTTCCTCGCGTATCTAGTACTTTAACAAATTATTTTCATATATATATATATATATATATATATATATATATATATATATATATATATATATATATATATATATATATATATATACGATTGTACAGCTTGATAATAAGTTCGTTGAAAAGAGATTCCTTCGTTGAACATCGTGTTTCTAATGTTTAAATGGAATTATCTGTTAGTCACTGAAAACGTGAGAGTTCTGGCTGGTCGTTTTATCGTAATACGCGACTCATTCATCAATGCTATCTACGGATCTGTATCCGGCAGTTCAACCTAGAAGATTCAATCTCGCGTTCGAACTCTTAAGTTCTTGTTCACCACTCAATGGTGTACAAGTCTAACTTCAATCGGTCAACGATTGTGCATGACCATCCTCAATTGCTTCCGGTGTACACCCAACACAAATAAACTACACCAACCACATCTATCTATTGTCTTTTGTTGTATAAAGTACTTTCTTTGGCATTAAATTAACCGTTGATAAGTGAACATGTTTTGTTTATATGTTAAACTATTTCATTTGTCAACTTCGGTTGACATACATTTTTTTGCCAGACTCTATGTTGTTTGGGATTGCAAGAAATCACTTCGTGTTTATTTTCACATTCGTTAATGATTTTACACTTATTTACTCTCAATCTAACGGATTTTAATAAACTCTTATTACCTCTACCACTACGGGATTTGAATTGACCACTGCATCTCTGTGCTAATGTGGTGTGGCAACTCGAACTGATGTACGTACGTACGTACGAAGTTCTACGTTGATACTGACTAACTGACTGATTTTAATAAACATTACTGGGAGCACTGTTAAGCAAGTTGTGTTAAAAAAATGTCAAGAATCGTTTGTCAAATGGTTTTTTTTTGGCTTAATTGTTTCATTTTAACTATTCATGAAACGCTGGACTAGTGGTATGCATGTTCGAATGCTTTTCCCTTTTTTTTCCTTCTCTTTGAATAATATCATCTACCTGTAACAGAAACCGAGTAGGTTAACTTACACTTAGTAAACAAGTTATATAATGATAAGACAAAAAGTATTGTCAGCCTTATGGATTATTGTATTCAACCTATATGTGTTTAATATCTGAAATCATACCGAGCAAGTAGTTTTATTTATTAAAGCACAAATTATTTGACGAACTACCTTTGAAGTAATCATGTACAAAAAAAGAGTTAATGTATTCATATGTTTAAGGTATCTCTAATACATCATTGCTAATATGATAAATAAAAAAGTGTAGCTTATTTATCTCGGTAATCTCAAGTGATATGACCATTAGTCACAAATATTTTGTATCTCTGGTCTACTAAAACTGTGATACGATTCCTCTTTATTTCAATATTACTCACTCTAATACTGAACTTCTTTATGTTAACCTTTTTATTGTGATCTATATATACACTCCACACACACACACACATACCACTCATCCATTCATGTGATCATTTGCAATCTAGACTATTGTATTTTAGGTACTTTTAATCTCATGACGCCATTGTTATATACAAGTGAGATGTGAAGAGCAAAGCAACCTTAAAAGTGCATAAAAGTTGAAGGTTATTGGTCTGGATTTGTTTGACTTTTGCCATAGATAACACGAATCCAACATCAATGTATGTAACTCACTTATCAAGTGTATATTAGAACACTCACCATTCCTCCGCACTTCAAATGTGATGGCTAGTGATAATACCCAGCTTCTCAAATCCAAAATAGGAACATCCATGTTCGAACCCGAGACCCAGAGATAACAGTTTACGTACTTAAATCACCAAGTCACCTCTCTATCATCCATCATTATTCACTAAGCAGATAGGGGATCCTCTTTCATTTTGATGACTTAACTACCATTCGTAAGGAATAGATAACAGTTTGTGTACGATACTCCCCATCTTGCATAATATACGGTTTAACCGCATTTTACAGACATTTTAAACTGTAACTCCCGGAGCACATTTTTACACTGTGTACCTGAGAATTGATGATAAAATAAAATTATGGTTTTCTATTTAAAACGTACAAAGAATTTTGCTGCTCTAATTAAGTAGTTATCATAATTTATAAGCTGTATTTTCAGTCTAATAATCTGAGTATTATGTCTTCAGGTTTTTTGATCGAAGGGCCTAGTGAGGCTAAAGTACTGTGCCAAGACAATGGAGATGATTCTGCTCAAGTAACCTATACGGTTTCACAACCTGGTGAATACGCAGTTCATGTTACATGTTTCGATGAAGATATCCCTGGATCACCATATATGCCTATAATAACTCCTTGTCTTGAAGATATTCATTCTAATAAGGTATGTGAAATGTAGAGACTTATTTCCTATTTCAAAAAAGGTTCTTTGTCATCACATAACACTTGTGGCGTATGCAATATATCCGTCTGTCAGCCGAAGAATGGGTTTACTATGCTTCGGTTTACTCATTTAGATATGATGGGTGTAAAATCTGACCATTTGGAACAGGCGATATTCGTTGGTTTACTGGTATTTGATCTTAAGTGTCTTCGAAACATTGCTCGCGTTTGTTGAACCATCAAGTGAAGAAGAAACCCGACTTAAGTCCATGGAGTCACTGACTGGACTATGAACTGGATTACGTCATGTAAGTAGGTACACACTACCTAGTTGAGATCCTCTCCATTATCGTAACCAGTAGTTGGTAAACATAGTTAAGGATAGGTCACGATGGAACTTAAATATTAAGTTCCGAAAAATACTTACATTTCATTGGCAAAGATGGATAGTGGCTAACAGTAGAATCCAGGACGCGTGTTTCGTCCTATATGGGACTCGTCAGCCGGATATACCTGTATCACAGAGTTGGTGTTTGAGTGCCGGAGGGAATATCAACTCTGGGATGAAGATACATTCAACTGACGAATCCCAAATAGGATGAAACGCGCGTCCTGGATTCTACTTCTAGCCACTATCCATCTTTGCTGATAAAGCTTGTGACTTAAGGCAATATGGAGGCAATCTGTACAGGAAACACGTATGCTAACAAGAGACTAATCAACTACAGTCCTCAATAACAATGGGAAGATACAACAAACAACAAATGAATTTTTACTTACACTTTGTTAGTTTTTACCTTCTACACCTAATTTTTTCATTACAAGTGATACTGTTCCTACTTTTACTACTCTGGTATTTGTCTTGATAATTTATTCTTCCTGTCCTATTATTGTGTGGTAATTTGAACTAATGCACATATATACAGACTATGAAAAGTAAACAATGTGTCGCTGTATATTTACATTGATCATCTAATTGCCGAACAATCAAACACCTTTATTTTTAGGCATTAATAGTAATCCTGTCTTGATGCACAATTTGTTCAGCATTAATTTGCTGTTTCGTATAGATCTCATACATGGTAAAGCCTACAGAATCCTAGTCGAAACTATCATTGACTGACTAATTTGGCTTATAATTATAGTAGTAGGCTATTTGTAGCATAAAGACGAATAGTCTTGTTAGGAATGAGCTTATTTTTCTTGATTTCACACAAGCATTTTATACCTTAATTTTTTCCATTTATTTTTAGTTGCGTGTTTATGGTCCTGGTGTTGAGAAAATGGATCTTAGTATCGGTCATTCTACGGAATTTTATATTGATGGTTTACAGGATGCTGTTCCTCCTCAACTTTCACGTTCCCTGAAGGATTCTCTGTTGCATGTAGATTGCCATGATACTACAGGTAATCCAGTGCCTGTCCAATCTAGTATACGCTCTGATGGCACTGTAGTTTGTACGTACAAACCTATGTCTTCTGGGATTCATACCGTATATGCTTCAATAGCCGGTATATCTCTCAAAGGCTCACCATTCAGGGTAGGTGAATAATTTTTATTGTGAAATAATACATCTTTAGTGCATTATTTTGCAACAACTAATCCTGTATTTTATTCATTTAGGTAACCGTTGCTCCAGAAATTCAACCAGATAAAATGAAATTATGGGGTCCAGGTTTACAAAGTGCTACCAGAAAAAAACCAACTCATTTTTTCATTGATTCTCAAGAAGTGTTTTCTGGTGAAAATGAAATTGAATTAATGGCTAACAATCCAGTTTCTGTTAATATTGTAAATGATCAAGGTCATACAATTTCAACACGTTTAAGTAAACAATCTGATAATACTGTTCGTATTGAATATACACCAACATCATTATGTACAAATGTGCATATAACACCATTAATAGGTGGTACACCAGCAAAATCCTCTATACATGTACCCGTTGCATGTGGCTTTGATATTTCAAAAATTAAAGTTCAAAATTTAGATACAAGTCAGTTTTTAATTAAATTTATTATATTTATTTATTTTTATATTTTTTAATATTTTATAACTTATATGTAAGTCACTTCTATTCATAGTAAAATAAATATCAGAAATGGGTTTTGTGGATATTATAGTAATTTAATAGTTGAATTCATGAATTGATCTAAGCTAGACCACTATGGAAAACTTGGAAGCACTGAAAGGTCGTTTCGTCTTAGTATATGACTCTTTAGCAGTGCGCATCCATGATCCCGCTCGTGGGATTCAAAACCCAGAACTTATCGGTCTCACACACGAACTCTTAACCTCAAGACCACTTAACCGGCATCTAACGATGTTAGTGTCTAACTTCAACCAATCCACGAAATCGCACCGCCGACTATCATTGTCTTCAGTGATATCTCACAACAGACCCAGTTGAAATCCACTAGCTTTAATTGACTCATCAATTCAACTAGTAAAATAATTAGAATACAGAAATAAAATTAACACAAGTTTGAGTAGTAAAAAGAAACCAAAATGTAAAATAAGCAGAGATGGATAATGGCTAGCAGTGGAATCCAGGACGCGCATTTCGTCCTGTTTGGGACTCGTCAGCTGGATGTACCTGCATCTCAGAGTTGATGTTCACTCTGGGACTCGAACTCAGTACCGTTCGCTTCAAACGCCATCGCGTTATCCACTTACCTACTGAGTCCTGATAGCCGCTTGCTTCAGTCCTAAAACATCAATGGGAAGATTCAAATAAAATAATATCAAGTAAATTAAAGTTCACCCCATTGCACAAGCACGTGGCTATCAGGACTCAGTAGCTAAGTGGATTACGCGATGGCGTTTGAAGCGAACGGTACTGAGTTCGAGTCCCAAACAGGACGAAACGCGCGTCCTGGATTCCACTGCTAGCCATTATCCATCTCTGCTTATAATGCTTGTAAATTAAGGCAATATCGAAGCATGCGCACAGTATGCACATATGCCAATAAGAGGCTGATCAACTTCAGTCCTAAAACATCAATGGGAAGATTCAAATAAAACAATATCAAGTAAATCAAAATGTAAAATGTTCTGTTAAAACCATACATAATCATTTTGATAAAAATAACATAACATTGGTATGTTCAAACCCATAATAATTTTAATTTTTAATCCAAAAAGGGTTTTATGGAGATTGTAGTAATTTATTAGTTGAGTTCATGAGTCAAATGAAGTTCGACTACCATGGAAAGCCTGGAAGCACTGGATGGCCGTTTCGTACTAGTATAGGATTAGCTGTTGTTAGACATTAACGCTGCTGGATGCCAGCCGAAGGTCCTGTGTTTTTGAGTTACATATGTGGGATCATTTATGCGCACTACTGAAGAGTTCCATCTTAAGACGAAACGGCTTTTCAATGCTTCTAGGTATTCCATGGTGGTTTAACTTAGATCGACTCATGAATTCAACTGTTAAAATTCTTGCATTCTCCACAAACCCTTATTCTGATAACATCCCGTTTTTTATTTGATTACAATATTACAGAATCTCTTGATAAAATATGAGAATCATACAATGAAAATTTTATTTGCGACTTCCTATCATTTGTCCTTTACATTCTATATAATTCTTTCTATTCTCTTCAACGTGATCTACTTAACCTTCTGCTGCCATGTTATCCATATCTGATTAGTGTTACATACTACTTATATCTGTCGATATAAGTAACATATCACACTATACTACTCATAAATTGAAATAGTTATAGAAAAAAAATTTAAACTCACCATATATCTTTGCTAAAATTCAAACACTTTTAATTATCATTAATCTAACATTTAATTGTTGTTGTCAATTCTTAATTTTTAATATAAAAATATATCAATAAGAGTAATTAGTCTATTCATTGATCTTTGATATCACAATATAGTAGTAATGATATAATATCAAAAAATAAAATTTTATTAATTTATATTATTTAATGAATATTTATTATTATTATTCATCATTGTAAATTGTTGATATTTGATCTTTTTACAATGTTATATGTATAGTTGATTTTTATGAAATCATTAACGAATCATAGTTCAGTATATATATATTTATCATTTATTGCCAAATTGATTATTGATTATTAATCGATGATCGGTAAACACTTATTGTGAATGTACTTTTTCTTGACTACTAATTTACTTCAACTGATTGTATTAAGTATTATACTTACTATATTTTGTACTTGTTTGTTTTTTCTAAAGGTATAAATAAGCGAACAATTATTATGATGATTTGTTAAGAAAACTATATTGAAGTTATTTAATCAGTTGACTTTCAATCGTACTTTATTATAAAGTTTGAATTCTCATTAATCCTTTGTTCAAACAGCTTATAAGTCTCTCCGAGTAACTTACTAAACGTATATCAAGACTTATACGTATCAGGTATATCAAGTGAGATACTAACGGTAATCGGTGTTTATGGATTGTTTGTTGTATGGTCAACAAATTATAAGCATGAATTTGGCGTTGAAACTAGCCATTACATACATATTCAGGTTAATAGGACTACTAACCAAATTTTTGTTAAGTTAAGCGTGAAATGTAAACGATTTGGTTAGGCATAAAATATTATAACTATAACAGAAATGAAATATCATGTATGGGAAGTTTTCTCGGAAAATGTGTTATCCTAGTGTCGTTGGATTAGTTCATTGAAGTTAGTCATCCGAAAATATTTTTTTGTGTGAATCTTTCATGGTTCATTTGAAATCACCTGCTATTGTGGTTAGTCAGATGATCTTCATATTTTTTTTATCAGTAGTAAGTCTCTACCACAACACCGACTAATTTTCATCTTTCTAAGTAAACCGATATTTACGTTACTATTATGATAGTGTCCATCTCACACTATATCTTCAATTTGCTCTTCTATATAAAAGAGAGACCTGTGTTTTCCTAACTGTTTAGTTAATATTGTTTTTAGCAGAAACCGTCTGTAGCGAAAACTTCAAAAAGATAGATATTTTCTATTTTAACGTTTTACTTGTAGCACTTAAATGGTTAGTAATGGAAAGTTCAATTTATGTTATAATTGTTGTTTTTGAAGTTATTTTAGCAAGTAATTCATCCTCTGTTGTCATTTATTTTTGAAGTGATAAGAAAACTAAACAGTGTTTGTGTATGTTAAACATTACAACTAATATAATTGTTCATTTCTCTTATTTGTATCACTTTCAACTTAATAGTATCCTTAACTCCTCAATGTTACACTCCTTCATTTACTTTACATCTATCCTATAAGGAATATTTAATTGTCATCAGTGTTTAGCTATTACTATAACTTATAATCAAGTTCTATTTGTCATGTATTGCCTACTTAGTATTATTATTATCATTTCCGAAATGATTAAATATATCTTTCTGTTTTTAGTCATTAATACACATTCAACTAATCAATTTAGGATTTATACTAAAGATGCTATAGATATATTAGATCATTTAATTGTAAAAATTCAGTCTATAGATAAACCTGAAATTTGTTTACCAGTTAATTTAAACATTGAAACAATTGATAGTATTTTATGTACATTTACAATTAATAATAACATACCATATACTTGTTATAATATTCAAATTATAGTAGATAATGAGAATATTCTTCATGAAATGAATACAATTAATGTGGTGAATAATATAGAATCAATTGTTGTTGATCCTATAAACAATAACAATATTGATTTGTACAGTGGTAAATCTAATGAGGAAGAATTACACCAAACGAGGATCCCTGGTGATAATAATATTTCTTATATGGAAACTAATAATAACTGTTTTGATGAGTTAACAAAAGACAATTCATATAAAAAGATTAATGATATTTTAGAAAAACTAGATAATCAATTTGATGCAAAGAAATCCTTTATTAATGGTGATAATCATGCATATTCAAATTGTTCTCATGAAAATACTCATAGGATTTTTATTACTAATGGTTATTTAAAAGAATTTGAACAAAATAATAATAAAATGGAATTGCTTCAACATATAAAATGTAACAACCATTTAATAACTTCATTAAATGAAAATGAATTATCAATTAGTACTGATTGTCATTTAATTAATCATGATGATAGTAATAATATTGCACATATTACAAACTGTACTCCACTGTCATCAGTTCAAAAATATCCTCCCAGGCCATTTATAACTGAAGAGGAGAAAGTAATTTAAACAAAATATCACTGAATTCTTTAATTTTTTTTTCGTCTTGATGCTTGTGTCTTTACATCTTTCAACTTTATACGTATTTATCTTTAATTTGAACGCATGCATATCAGATTGTCTGTGTATGCTTAACCTTTTTTTGCTACTATTACTACTACTAACACTGTTGTTATGTAAACTACTCTGGAATTTGTTTTCATACTTTCATCTTGGTGTGCTGTTGTAGTATGACAACGGGAATAAATGCAAATCTATATCAGCTTCTACAGTGATTATAGCTGCCTGACTGAGGACTGCCTATCATTGGACGTATTGACGCATGTATCTTCATAATTATCATTTATTTATACTCTTTGATTTCTATTCTTTATCAGAAGTCATTTCCATTTATAAATATCTCTTGGCATGGCATGACGACAAATTGTGTGATCAATCAGTTAGCATGGTAGATCGATACTTTCATCAATTGCTAATATTTCTCTTACCTTCACACTTTATATTTTAAAAAAATAGACTGAAATAATAGCCAAAAGTAAATGGCCTCAATCGATGCCGGAACAACACGCATATCAAATTACAGCTCAAGGTTCAGGACTTGACAAAGCTATTGTTAATGAACCAGCTGATTTTGTTATCAATAGCGAAAACGTTCCACCTGCTCCATTGAGTGTAACGATTGCTGGACCAAGTGAAGCAAAAATTCATTGTATAGATAATGGGAATGGAACATGTGGTGTCAACTATACACCATTACTACCAGGTTGTTATACTATAAATGTGGTGTATAATGATGAATCGCATATATCTGGTAGTCCATTCTTTGTTCAAGCATATCCGGCTGATAAACCAAATTTAACAGTAGATGATGTCATCTGTTATGGAGTTGGAGTAGATTCTTCTAATGGTGCGTTTCTATGTTTATTAATTGGACTGTCTATCACTGCATGTGCTCTCTCCCTATTTTGTGGTTGATTGATTCGGGGAATCCAACGTTGCATGTATAAAACATCGCCTGATAAAGTATAGTGGTTAATAATTTGTTAATACTGTCCCCTTCCTTATATTGTATAGTTTTTAAAAATCAAGCGTGAAATTTTTAACCTATGTATATTTTTATCTGTTCTCGTTCTCGATTTCCTTTTTCACACTTATAGAAGTTCATAAAGCTTCGTACGTCAAGTTCACTGTGGATGCATCGGCTATTGATGCAAACTCTGAAGGAACTGTCACAGCTGTTCTTACTGGTCCAGATAATGGAAAATCAGCCTGTCAAGTGTTAAGCAATAAAGATGGAACATATATTTGTAATTATACTCCATTGGAAGAAGGTGATTTATTTCATAGTATAGTCTTATTGGGTCTTGTTTTGTTTGTAATTTGATATGACGTACTACTTCCTATATATTGTGGTTATCATTCTACAGTATTAATCTCTCTGTCTTTCATTCACAGAAAATTATTGATATGTTTGCGCTATTTATGTGTATGAAAATTGAAAATCTAAATTTTGTCGAACATCAATGCATTTATAGCACTAAACTCATTGTTTCTTATAGATTAGGGTGGATACTTATCCTTTCGAACATTAAAGAAAGTCTCAGAAATTTACCCTTTGAATCATAACCTGGCGGTCGATTCACATCACTATTGGCTATTACTCATTTGTCATTTTAAGCAAATTATTTTGAGTTAAGAATCCCATCTCTTGGCAATTTTTTTGAACATCTTCATTAGGTTATCGTTTCTTTAACCATTCTAACGCGTTAAACATTAAATGCATTAATTGAACCGGACAATCATGCTGTACCTCGAGGTTACATTCGTTGGCAGGCTATGGTAATTGAATTAGTTACCTTATTATAATTACCGACTTCATTTCCGTATTCCGATTATCCCATTTATCTTTAAATACACCTGAGTTATACGTTTACGCATTTAGTATTTAGAAATACGACTTTATACACTGACTTGTGTTATCTTTAGCTTAATTAAGTGATTCAAGCATGAAAGGTGTACACAGAAAGCCTAGAAGGAAGCTCAGATCATGGTAGCATCAAGAAAAATCTTGTACATGGTACTGATTGCTTGTTAGAAAAATTTATGTCTCAGGTTAAGATGCAATGAAGGGAAATTCTCCTATATCACTTATTTTTAATTCTTGTTCAGTGATTCAGTAGCTTACTTTCGTTGTTGAAATTACGTGTGCAGATTGCTTTATTTTATCTATGAAGCATTCAGTAGATGTATCTTCGGAAAGCATATTTGTTTTTGACTGGACTAAACATGATAGTTAGCTCTTCATCAATTGGCTATACAGTTTCATTTTAGCCCTGTCTACCTGTCACTTTTTCTTTCACCAAAAAATTCCTACGTGCTACTACTTCAGACCAAAGTGTGTTATCATGAGCCAAATGTTAACCTCCAACTTTACGAATAATGTTTATTTGAAGTAGTTTTAAACCAACCTTGTAGTGATCATATTTTAAACCATTCGACTCGCTTATAAGTTATCTAGTCGATGAGTAGTTTTGCTTGATGATCTGAATGTATTTTGGAAGCGAACGCCGATATTCTATTTTTTGAAACGGTAGGTATTTAGTTCATGTGTTTACTGTTGATATAGATTTCAATTTTAAACATCTAGTCATCATATTCCTTTCCTAACATGAGTACTTTTTTTATCGAGTCGTATATTGTCTTTAATTTATTAATCATTCCATTTTTCTCTCAGTCGTGTTATATTGGATGAATTTAGTATTATGTAATTAACTCAATTGATCTAAGTGAATGCTGATGAGTTTTGAATTTTTATATTTTTTGTTTTTCTAATGAAATCGGCGATCAGGTCAACATAAAATACATGTAAATTATGAAGGTTTACCAGTACCAGGAAGTCCCTTTCATATTAATGTTGTTCCTGGCTGTGACCCGAATCGTGTAAAAGCCTATGGACCCGGTTTAGAAAATGGACCTCATTTAAAACCTGGTGTGCAGACAAGTTTCACGGTAGACTTAACCGGAGCTGGACAAGGTGGTTTAGGTTTAGCTGTTGAAGGTCCAAGTGAAGCACCGATCGACTGTCATGATAATCGTAATGGTACATGTACTGTTTACTATACGCCATCTGTTTATGGCTCTTATGCTGTATATGTACGATTCAATGATGTAAATGTTCCAGGTAAGCTTTTTACACTAAAATACTTTCTTTAATTTGATTTATTCATTGGTTGAAATTGTATAACTTGCTTAAATATGTCTCTTGACAATTTATTCACAATAGGATAGTACGGGCGTTGTAAAGTCTAAGGATTAAAAGTTTTGTCCAGTTGACAAGTATATTGCGTACTGTTTACGTGTTTACAGAAAATACACCCGTTAATAACATCATTTACATTAACCATTAATTTACGCACATGCCCATCTTAAGCCAACCATTTAAGCCCACTAATTTGCTTTCATTTTACATATTTCATTCTTCATATAAATATATATCTATTCTGTCATAGTATAAGTTATTTAATACTTCGACGGGGCAAAATAATCGAATTACAATATATTGCAAATACAGTATAAGACTTAATTCTAATAGCAATGGGATTGGAAATATGTCCATAAAGTACAGTGATAAGAATTAAATACCCAAATATGAGTCAATCATTAAAACACACGGACAACATCAGTCCTAGTCTACTGTAAACAAAATGAGAAATCATGGAATAAAGGAATAACCCAAGATCTAAGAGATGACAAAGCGTTCGTGTGACTTATTTAGAACAGTATCAGCTAGCGTTTAAAACCATTGATTATCATATTATCGCTGACTTCAATCAAGTAGTCTGAATTACCAATACGGTTCATTTTAACAGTCAATTACTTCATGGGTTGATTAAGTGTTCCTACGGAAAATCAAACCTTCATGTATTTAAAAAATGATTTGTAATTTCGTCAATCGTTTTTTGTAGTAATATAATTATAATTTTTTATCTAAGTGTGGGTGCAGATAGTAATATTGTTCACTTACTTTATTTCGAGTAAATTTTGACCGTTTCCTCCCCCATACATAAAATCATTTGCCTAGTTGTTACGTAATCACGATGAAGCTCTATTAAGTTATTACATGGATCTGCTTAAATTTCTAATCTCATTATTCTTTATCTATATTTATCAAATAGATAAATGCCCAAGTTTCATAGTTTGTATCGTTAACTGATCTTAGCTAGATCACTATTGGAAACCTGAAACCAATGGACCGCTGTCTCGCACTAGTATTAAAGATTCCTCAACAATCTACATTCACTACTTTACCACTAGAGATCAAACCCACAGTAATGCTTAATTTGTTGACCACTGAACCGTGAATCGATTGTGTTCATGTTTAACTTTAATTCACAAATGTTGAATTTGTTGATATTTATTTATTACAAATTATAAAATACATAATTCATGTTACTACTGATCATTATTATTTTTATGCTAAAATTGATTTAGGAAGTCCATTTAATGTAAATGTTAGTCCGAAAGTTGATCCCAACCAAGTTAGATGCTATGGTTCCGGTCTAGAATCTGGTTTATTACGTGCTGGATGGCCAGCTTACTTTACTGTGGATACAAAAAATGCTGGTGATGCACGCCTAAAGGTATGCTATGGATTATTTTAAAAAAATACCTGTCTAATATTTAATTTGATAATTTATTTTACAATTGGAACTCTTCAACTTGATAGATCTCATGAGATAATACTGTTGGGGATGTTCAGTGAACCGTCTGACGTTCATTTCCAGTCATATTCCATCCGACCGCACATCCGTTCAATATGTTCAATAACAAATAATTCTTATCTCTTTACAACAAACTCTAATAAACTGCCTCTTATAGTTACTGTTAACTTTCTCTACCCGTTTCTCAGTAAACGTTTCTAATTTTACGATTAAAATAATTCATAGGTGTTAGTTGGAGTTCAATGCTTAGTTCCAGGATCCCTATTATGTGTATCACACCAAGTTTATTTAATGAGTGGTAGAACTATTTTTAATTAACTTAGATTCCATGTTTCCAATTGTAATTGACTTTTGATGCTATGCAAATTTCATACTTGGAAGTAAATGTAATGATGATTTTACTTAGTTTTTCGTTTTATTATTTCTTTCTATGAACTTTTCTTTTTTTTTTCAGGTTATGTATACTCCTAAATCTGGTGGGGAATTATGTCCTGCAATTGTCCAACCTTTTGGTGGAGGATCAGAAAAAGACTCAACTCAACAACATTATTATAAGGTTACATATACTCCTGAAACAGATGGTCCTTGCCGAATTGAAGTCACCTATGATGATGTTCATGTTCCTGGCTCACCATATGTTGTGAAAATAAGAAAAGCATCTGAACCGAACCTTGTTCGTGTTCTAGGTGCAGGTATTAAAGGTCCTGTTCTTGCCAGTCTACCAGCAACTTTTACAGTTGATGCTCGTGAAGCTGGTATGGGAGATTTAACTTTAGGAATTACTGTAAGAGAATTCATATATACTTTATTTTGTTTTATTAAGTTGTTTTACTTAATTCATTGTCATCTGAAAGAGTTTTATGGAGATTGTAGTAATTTCAATAGTTGAGATCATGAGTCAATTGAAGCTAGACCACCATGAAAAGCCTGGAAGCACTGGACGGCCGTTTCGTCCTATTGTGAAACTCCTCAGTTTTAGTGAGAAGCAGTGACCAGTGGAGTTCAACTGGGTCAGTTGTAAGATAGTAACTTACTGATGACAATGGTGGATGTGTCGCTCAATTTCATGGATTAGTTTAAGTTAGACATTAACACCGTCGGATGCCGGCTCAGTGGTCTAGTGGTTAAGCGCTCGCTAGGCGGGCTCGTGAATGCGCACTGCTGAGTGGTCCCATATTAGGACGAAACGGCCGTTCATTGTCATATATTCAGGATGGAATTTCTACTCAAGAAACTTTGGACGTGTAGGTTTAGTTAATAGATAGTTTTAGTCGTCTAAACGTATTCAGAATCTTGTAGGAACTAATGCTGTCCGTGGAATTGTAACCATTTTTACTCAGTGTTATGTCTAAGACACTACCTCTAATTTATTTTCTTGAATAGATAAAATTCTATCAGCACTAAGGAGTTGAAAAACATAACACATACTACTTAGGGATTAACACGTTCGAAAGAAACGTGCATTTGTAACTTTACTTATAAATCCCTGTAAACCGGCACGTATTCTGTATTTTCGGAAGATAAATCATTTGATTTTCGTTAGATGGGCATTATGATTATTATTATTATTATTATTATTATTATTATTATTATTATTATTATTATTATTATTATTATTATTATTATTATTATTAAATATCAGCTAAACCATTATTTTGTTAGAAAACTAAACAGTACAGTATATATTGTTATAATGGTTGAATTCGCTTAATTTAAAACACTTGTGTGGCTTTGGAGATAGATAGGTTCTTTCCAAAAATAGCGTGTATGTTATTCATATTCTTCTCTTATTCGTGCTTTGTATTTGATTGCCAGATTTGCAGTTATTTCTTTCTTTCTCTTTTTTTCCTGGTTATTTTTAAACAAAACACTATTTTTGTATTTTATAGGATCCTAAAGGACAATCTGTCCCAGTCCGAGTTGTATCAGTGCCTGTAGATAGTGAATCTGTTGCTACTAATGGAGTAGTTCCATCTGTAACAAGTTTAGCCTCTGGTGATGTTAGTGATACGGGATTATTATCTTGTACTTATGAACCATATTTAATTGGACCCCATAATATTCACGTTATGTTTGCTGATTCAGAAGTGGTTGATAGTCCATTCACTGTTCACAGTGTAGCTACCGGTCGAGCTGATTTATGTGAAATTAAAAGTAAGTAAAACTTATTTTAGACACTTTTTTTGTTTTTGTTATTGGCTTTTGTCAATTATACGATTAAGTATCATCTACTTATTAAATACATTTTTATTGAAATAATTTTCAGGTGGTATCAAGAAAGTTATACCAGTTGGTAAAGAAAATGTCATTAAAGTGGATACTTCATTGGGTGGTAAAGGTCGTTTAACTTGTCAAGTTATTCAGCATCCAATTAATCAGTCTTCATCTACTGCTACTCTTCTCCCGGTTGAAACAGAACATAATGGTGACGGTACTACGTGTGTGTATTATACACCAACACAATTAAGTGAATTAAATGTGGAATTGCGTTATGGTGGTCAACTGATTCCTAATGGTGAATTTGTTCAGAAAGTGAGTGGTTTTTTTTTGTCTTACGGTAACAGCAAATAAACAACTGTAGATTGTGACTGTAAATTGCCGAGATAACACCAATATTATTATTGATGTGGGTCAGGTTTGTGCGATCTTGATGGTACGAAACAAAAGTCCACTTTGTGCTTTATGAATATTTGACCAGAGTCGAAAGTATTTACTATTTTATGTTCATCAAAAATAGGACCATTTGTACACGAAATTTGTAGACTTTCGTATCCCGATGAAAACTAATGTATAACTGAGCATAGTTAAGAAGCTCTATGGCTTAGATTAGTAAATGATGAGTTACTCTTTCCGAGTAAATTTGTCTCAAAGACTTATGAAGTACAACGTACACAGTATTATTGAAATGGGCATGCGAACATACCTGGATATCTTCTTTTGCTTATCAAATCGTTTACCAGATACAAGTTTTTGTACTTGGCTACAAGTTACACCCAGTTGCCCAAACCAAAGTAGTACATGGGAGTTGTTCGGATCTGCTACTTAATGATTGCAAGTCAAACACTATGACCAGTGAGCCACCACTCTAATCTTTATTAATACTAGATATTTCCTTTATATGTAGCATATATTTAAAATCCGATACCAAGTGAATCAGTTCTAATAATAACTAAGCTTTAGTTTTCTGGAAACAGTTATTGTCACTCGAAATTCAGTACAGAAATTGATCAGTCCCTTTTTAGCATGTGTGGATCCTATACGAATTGCCTCGATATCGCTACTAAGTCTTAAGAATTTTAAGCATAGATAGATGTTGGCTAGCAGTGGAATTTAGAATGTACATGTACATCTAGTTGAATAGTCCCAAATAGGACGAAGTATGTGTCCTGGATTCCACTACTAACCATTCAGTCAGTCAGTCAGTAACAACGTAGAACTTCGTACGTACGTACATCAGTTCGAGTTGCCACATCACCTTAACACAGAGATGCAGTTGTCGATCCAAATCCCGTAGTGGTAGAGGTAGCAAGAGTGTAAGCAGTGATCGGGAAGATTAGGGTTCGGAGATGTTATTTAACGAGTATAATTCAGTGAAATAAATTTGGAAAGAGGAAAAAAGGGACATGAAGAATTCAGAAGATTAGAATTTGGGAGAACACAAAGAGTGGATGCACCTGCGTCATTGCAAACGATTTTGAGCCATGTCATTCAGGGTCTCTAACCATCGGTTGCTATCATCTCGCGGTCCCCAACCAGGTAGTCTATATCTATCAACATGACTCAGTCCACTTGTCAGTGACTTCATGGACTTGTGCCATGTTTTGGTCTGGCCGCCCCTAGCTTTCTTCCAATTTACTCCTATACCACTGAACATCGCACGTCGAGGCAGTCGGCCGTTGGGCATACGTAACACGTGTCCCAGCCATCTCAACTAACCATTATCGATTACTGTTTAAAGTTGTCATAACTCACCTTCCTTATATTCTATCTACCATTATTATTATTATTTTTACTATTATTATCATTATTATTATAACTGACAGTTTTTGTGAATTTTATTTTCTCATGCATTTTAGGTAGTCTCCCCTGAAGATATTATAGATGAAAATGTAAGTGGATTATTGTCCTTATACTATAAGGAGTTGCATGATTAATTCATAATGATTCTATTATAATTAACAAATTTTTTCTGTTAGTTTTATGTATTGCTTCTCGTCAAATTGATTGTTTTCTTCTTCTTTTCGTTACAAAATCTGCCCTTAAGTGACCACATTAAACATGAATTATTTATTCATTTGTAACTGATTTAATTAAACACCAATGAAATTTTGTTTTTCTTATTTAATAATCCAGTAAACACTAAATAAATCTTTTTAAATAAATAAAAATGTAATAACTGTGTTGATACATCATTTGAATCATCCTTCATAACTACTTTGACTACTAAATGAATAGTTCTGAGGTTAAATGCAAAGTATTAGGTGAAGAAGGTGTGGATCGGTTCATAGGGAAGTATATCTATTAACCACTGCCTAGCTCAATTGGTGGTATTTATTGATGTAGGAGTCGTTTGGTAGTCTAGAAGCGTTCGAATCAATGTGTAGAATCATTTTATGAAATCAGTAACTGTTGGATTGATTCATGTAGATAGGTAGATGAAAACTGCCTTGTTAGGACGTTGGATGTTCACAGTGTCACAGATGTCATTCTTTAGATTTTGACATTTCAAATTATTTTCGACTTTTGTTCCACAAATTCATCCATACTTCTCAAATCAGATTATCTATACTTGATATTGTCTATTTCAACTGATATTCTGGTATTTGTTGTGATTATTTCATCTTACCGTGATGATGTAATGTGGCAACTTGAATGTATCCATATATTGTCAAATCCTACGATTCAACTGGATCACCTCTAAAGTTAATCTGTTTTTTGTAGTTAAAGCTTTTTATATTTGTGATTTTAAATACTTAGACTTTTTATTATCTAAGATGATGAAACTGATATTGTTGTCTAAAACATTATCTTCGTTGCATACCTTAAAGTGTATCGTTGTTTATATATATACATATATGGTTAAGCGCCACTCTGCTTGATCAAGTTTAGCAATCTAAACATAGAATTTTCCTTAACCTCTACCTTAACTATTATTTAGTTGCATTATTTTTTACTGTACTTTTTTCTTCAGTCTCATTCGAATATGTACCGACCTGTTGTATTTCGTCTACCAGCTCCTCGAAATAAAGCAAAAATTGAAGGTATTGTTTTTATAGTTTTTGTTGAATGTTTTGATTAACAAAAAAACCCACCTAAATCTGTTATTGACATAATTCGTAGAACATGGAACATCGTTAAGCATGTTAGACATGCTAAATTGTACATATGTATAGCGAATGATAAAATATTGTTTTAAATAAGAGCTGACAAATAAAACTACATATTTGATGAACTCATATAAACAATCTCTATAAACATAACGGTGCACAATGAACTATAATTATTGATTGATTGATGGTAAAAACAACATGTCCTACAACAGAACCTATTTATATTTCATATTAAAATGACACATTTATCCATTTCCCGTCAATCTGTTCTCCTAATGCTTGTATTTTCCAATTAATACCCACTCTAATAAGTTTAATGTACCTTTTAATCTGATGTTAACCATGATGACTAATTTAATCCTAAGCAAATAAAATAACCATGCATACAATCATTTAATGACGAGACTATAATTTGTGGACGAACTAATCAGGTAAAAGATACCAGGTCTTAGATTTTGGCGCAAAATTCATTCATCCACTTGGGATTATAGCTGATGTCAGTTCGTGATGAAAACTCCAAATCTAATTCCTAACTTTGAAAATCAACTGTAAATTGTAATTCTAATTTTTCACACAAATTAATAATCTTCCTTTGATCCTGGTTATTAAGTGGACCCTCTCAAGGTGACTTTGGCGTCGTTTATGAATTAGAGTCTCACCCATTTAATTTAAAGGAATATATATATATATATATATATATATATATATATATATATATATATATATATATATATATATATATATATATATATACTCGTCGGCCTATGCTCCATTGGGGGTAGAAGGCGTAAGTAAGTAAGTAATTATATACTCCATACCTAACTGTAGTAAAAATGTTCAAACAAATCATGAGAAAACTAGTTTATATCTGCTTTTTCAATGTTTAATATATACGGAATACTTAGAATTTTTCTGTTCATTTAGTAAGTAAAATGGTGTATATACGATCATAGTTTTTACTGGGGATTTCATTTTCTTTTTTCTTATTTGACAAGTTGAAATACAGTACAGTGGCGTTTTCAAAAAAGTTATATCTACATAACTTTAGATAACTCAATGAGCTCATGTACTTTGATTCTTAATATTTTTGGTAGTTAGCTAACAATAAAATCCAGAACGTACTATTCGTCTTATTTGCAACTCATCAGCTAGATGTACTCCCATTCTAGTGCGTTGACATTCACAATAAGATTCGAATCCAGTACTTTTTACTATAAGCGAATAATCCATTGTCCACTGATCTTATTTGTTCAACACGTATAATGCCTGACAGGTTGCAATCCCAAATATCAATAATCAGAATTTTCTTTTAAAAAACTATTTATTTCTGTTTTTACTATGATTATGTCGTTATCTCGTATCTATTTAAGATTATTTTTAACTCACTATAATTCTTTTCTCAACTATTCTTTCTTGTTATTCATTTCAGCCATTGTATTACGTCCATCAGGTTTACAACAACAAGTTCCAGTTAAAATTAATGATGATGAAACAATTACTATAACATATGATCCTGTTGAACATGGAATGCATGAATTACGTATAAATGTTCATTCACCTGTAAAATCTGGTTCACCAGACAGTACAATCTCTATGCCATTACAAGGTAGTCCATATAAATTTTATGTGGATATTACTGGTACTGGTCGAATTACTGCATATGGTCCTGGTCTTAGTCATGGTATAACTTCTCAGTTAGCTGAGTTTACTATTGTTACTAAAGAAGCTGGTGTTGGTAAGTGTCTCTGTTGGCTTACTGTAACTTTTATCACATATTTCTTTATTAGCCTCATTCACCAAATATCGGTACATGTACTTAGTGATCAATGAATTTTAAATTCATCTAAGTCCTACATGAGGTTTGTCACGACCTAGACAGTTCAAATGTACTGTCTCTGACTGTGAAACTTTGTCGTACGTGGTCGAATCCGTCAGAGAGTATCAGTTCCCTCAATATTACAGGTACACCTTGCAAATAGTATGAAGCCTAGGTCCACAGTTTTCTGTCGACTACCTCCAACCACCATTTTACATCTCCAGCTACAATATATTTTTAAGGGCTAATAATACTACCCCATCGCTCAAATCCCGAAGTATGTGGAGCAGGGTTTGAATCTACGACTTAGTAACTAATCTATTTGAACGCCTTAGTCATTGAACCACTACTTCTTTTTTACCATACTTTCTGTTTAAATGAAAATATAACAACAATTGAAAAAGCTCTGTGAAATCAAGGAATTAATCTAATGAGAAAAAACACCATTAGTTGTTAGAATCAGTGGAAGTTTATTTGCTGAATTGATATCCGAATCGAAATACGTCTGCAAATCGTATTTTTCTGTCTTTATCTGTAAGCCTTCAAAATTACTCGATCATTCAAATGTGCATAGGAAATTGAGTAGTGCTCTTTAGATGAGTCAATAAATGATAAACATGTATATTAATGATTATTAGTAATTGTTTAGTTGAACTTATAATATTTATCAATAGTACCAATTAGTTACTGGTTTTCAGTTCCCAATAAACGTTTATGCAATTGGTAAAGATAATACTGTAATAAGAATAATGATGTAACACGGCAAAATTCAAATATCTTCACCACTCTCTTCATTAAAAGTTTATCTACTAATGACTAATTTTAAAAGGGAATTCTCGGAATTCTAGTAAGACTGATTAAGAGTTTATCCAGGTTGGATGTGAGGTAAATATCACTGGTTGAAATAGATAATGATGATAAAATATTGCGAATTGATTGGAGTTAGAAAAGTGAAAACGATTAAATAAATCGAGTTCAGTAGTATTAATGTTTAGACCTCTCTACAAGGTTTGAAGGTCATGGTTGTGGTTGCGCACTGCTATAGATTCTTATCCAATAAGACGTAACATGTATCCAGTCTTACTTGCTTTTAATGATCACTGTCTAACAAAAGTCAATCCATGACGTAAAATTGCCAAAAAATATAGACTATCTGATTATACACTTTTTATTCTGTCATATTAAATAAAACACATATCAATAATTATACAGCATAATTTTCACAAAGGTTGAATATTGCCTGACAGCTGTTCTGAAAACTCGTTTTTCTATCCTGTTTCAAACTTGTCGGTTAGTTGTATCTGTATCCGTGTATTGATGCTCACACTGAGACTAGAACCCAATACCTTTCTCTGCAAACACCAACACATTATTCAGTGAGCTACTGAGTCCAACTTGCCAGTAGATAGTATGACCTGTGTGGATTTTGTGATAATTTTCCTGTTTTTGATGTTATAAGTTGTATATGCACGTTCCTGATCGGTTGTCTCGGTGGATAACGCATTACAGCTGGGGGCGAAATGTACTGGGTTTGAGTCTCTATGTGGAGGATATTAGCAAATCTAACCAATAAGTTCCATAGAGGGTAAAACAAGTATCCTTGATACGACTGTTGACTATTATCCAAATGCAACAAAATATTACAACCAAGTGGCAATGTTGAGTAGATCCACTCAGTAGAGATTCTAAATGTCACCAGTCCTTTACAAATATGGACATAACTAAAAGTTACAGTGATTAGACCTTTTTATATTGAATTTAAAACGTAGAACTTTGGATTATTTGCGCCATACGCACTTTTTTTTCATTTCAAACTTGCTAAAATAGATTTTTCAATTCTTCTAATTTGTTTTTCTTATGCTAGGTGGTTTGTCGGTGTCTGTAGAAGGTCCTTCCAAAGCGGAAATACAATGTGTGGAGAATGCTGATGGTACTTGTAGTGTCAGCTATTTGCCACTTGCACCTGGTCAGTATACAATAACAATTAAATTTGCAGATGAGCATATACCTGGATCGCCATTTATCGCTAAAATCACAGGTAAGCAATTAATAATGAGACTGATGACCTCGTACTTATTGTTGTTTATCCTGTGATTTTCTTAAGAACAGTGTAATGGAATTCTTGTGTTCTAAATGTGTATACATAGATTTCGGTCATTCAATCTATTGTACTTTGTCTTAAGAATAACCCATAACAAAGCAATTACTAAATAGATCGAGTAAGACATATGTTTCAGTTTTCTCGATTATTCAAACTCTTTATCTTGAATTTAAGCACCAGTGAGTACGTTATTATTATTATTATTATTATTATTATTATTATTATTATTATTATTAGTAGTAGTAGTAGTAGTAGTGTACAGATTTTGTGGAGATTCTTGGGTTATTTTACATGGCTTACAAGCTGATCAAGCGTTTGTCCGATACCGTAGGTCCTGAGTTCGGTCGCTTGCAACAGGGTCGTGGATTCGCACTCCTGTGGAGTCCTTAACCAGTAAACACTAGCTATCTAATTCATCCAGGTTTTCAGTAGTAGTTTAACTCAAATCAGTCCGTAATGTAATTTACGAAGATTTAGTAATCTCCGCAAAATGTTAATTTATTCCCTGAAATATATATGTATGTATATCTGATTACTGTATATATAGGCCCTAAATTATCGATTATGAAAGGGAACGGTAGGTTCTTCGCTTATGTATTTTTTTTTAAAAATGTATGCACATTTATTTTCAATAATTACATTATATGTGCTAAGCACCCTATTATGTAGTGAATTATCACTTATACATTTTTTCAAAAAATTTTCGTAGCCTTATGCACTTCCCATTATTGTTATTTGTTTCCCGTAGATTGTTGTTGTCCCCCGCTTAATTCTGTCTGTTACAGACTAGTATACGTAGTAATAATAATAATAATCCCAATGTCCTGTTCGAAAATATACTACATTAGCTACTTGAGAATAGTAGAAAAGAAAGGTCCCTAACCTCGTATACAATATGAATACAGTTTAGCTAGACAACCATTGAAAATCAAGGGGTACTGAAAATTTGTTTCTCCATACAATGAAACTTTGCTCCAGCATTTCATACTCACAATCCGTTCGTTGATGAAACCATAAAGACTTGAGACTTCGCTGTGAGCTCATTGTTTTCAGACCTTTGGCTTGGTATCCATTTATGCACATTTCCATCTTCATTATTATATTACTGCATGACCGTCAGTTATGTCTGTCTGACGCTGGACAAGGTTTAACTTCTTAGACCACAGCTCCTCATTAATAGACATCTGATTACAAAGATAGTTAACACTTAGATCGTAAATCAACACCAACTCGGTCTTTAATGAAATTACGAACACGCCATACTAAGAATCTTTATAATATTTAAACGAAACAACTATTCAGTCCTTCCTCGTTTTAAATGATTGTCCAGTTTGAATGTGTTCGTGTTTTAAACTGTCTTCATACATTTGAGTTGGTGACTCTATCCATATAATCTTTATGAGTTGATTTCCAATCAAGGAATTCATGTGTTATGTTGTAGATTTGTTGTATTTTTATTTATTTATGATTCTTAATCATCACCATTGTTTATATTCCCATGTTGTTTTGCCCTTTTTTATGTTAATAGACGTATGCTTACTATTTTTCTTTCCTAACCCAAAGCACGCTAGGTTCTTGCTAGTCAATTAGTAGTTTACTTATTTTACTGAAGTAGAAATAGGTTCTGAGGGGAGAAAACAGCTCTCCCGCTTCCGCGTTTATTATTGTTGAATGTTACTGTTCATTTAAAAATTTTTTATATGTTTAATACTTAAATGTTTATACACTATTGACCTGAAGAATACACTTTGAAATAAGTAGGAACCAATTATCTGAATCAACTGTTTACCTGTTCGAATACAGTGGACTTTTGTTGTTCATAATATGGGTGGAATGATCAATTGTTAATAAACTGAATCAGTGAAAATGATGAGAAGAAGGGTTCGTAGCACTTTAGAAAAAGAAGTCACTGTCTACTTCAACATACAATGCTATATGATGTAAGTGTGAGTTAGAAGAAAGCTAAGAGCAACAAAATCAAAACGTTACATCAGTGTATGGACTCCTCAACTGTTAAACTAAGCCTATGTTTGTAGATGCAAACTATCTAGTTGGGGTCAACACAGCAACCATGACCATTGGTTGAAGTACCATCATGGCTCTGAATCAATCACGGTGGAACAAATGTATATACTCTGTATCTTACACTCGATCTTCATAGCTTCAGTTTTTCTTTTTTTTGCAGGCAGTTTATTTATTTAGTTATTTGTATTATTTCGCATCGTGCTTATCTAAAATGACTCCCTTGTTCATTAATTTAATGCCAACTAACTCTTCTTGTTGATTTCAATTAGTTGAATAGTCAAACTTTTTTTTACAAAAGGGAAGGTTTTTCGTCTTTAATTTTGCGAAGTTTTCGATACTTAAGTCGTTATTTGTAATTATTATCAAAAATTGTTACAAAGGGTCATCAAAATATATATGCATCACACAAACCATTGCGTTTAGGTGTAGGCTGTGATACTGCTCGGGTGACCAAATCGAAGCAGATGGTTTTCTAAAGAGGTCACTTCCCGAGCATTTGACCTGGATGTCTAATCCACAAGGCAGTGGATACTTGTTTTTACAAGTCATGCATAGATATCCGAAAGAAGAAAATAGCTGTCTAATAAAATTATTCGCCTGTATCAAGAGCACAATAATTGTTACATTAGACTAGTTCTCATCTTTCATGCAAAACTTTATTTACATCGCAACGTTTGAAATCAGTATTTTGATGAAAGTGAATTCAATAGTTTCTGACGTCTTTTTCTTACCTTAAAAATGTCTTTTTAATTTAATGGAATTTTGTTTTGATGCAAACCTGGGATCATCATTAACAAGTCAGTGGATCACATTACATACTTTATTGACCTGGGGAAACCAAATCGCCAGTCTTGTTTTTTTTTTAAATTTTTCTTAGTCAATCTCATGGTCAAATCTTTATATTGCTGCGTTATTCCGATGCTCTTCAATCAATATTTGCCGTTATAAAATAGATTACAATATTATCACCATTCTTTGGTGGTTTCTTTCGATTCTGCCCATCCTCTTTATAATGGTACTTTACTTAGTTGCAGGATTCACCATTACCGTATTTCCCAATTCTCTTTTTCCATCCCAATAAATATCATACTCTCTTAAGTATAAGTACTTTTTGAATGTGATTTCATTGTCTTATTTACGAAAGAGATGTTTCATTAAATAGTCTTTGTGTGTGACTGTAATGCCGTACTGTTCAAACTAGGTTCTGCAACCATAACTTTTAGTTATATCTTTTTTATATGAAATCTTAATTGGAGAATCTTTTTTCTACTCCAGGTGATTTACTGAAACGTTCTCAAGTAAGCATGGGTGCACCAAGTGATATTGCTTTGGAAGCTGTTGATGAAGATATTGCTACTTTAACAGCTAGTGTTCACAGTGCATCTGGTCGAGAAGAGCCATGTGTATTGAAAAGTTTACCTAATAATCGTTTAGGTATGTATATGCTTTTCTTGCTCAATTAATTTTTTTAATTTAATGAAATCCAAGAAAAAATAGTGCTTTATGGTTGTTTCTTTCTAACCAGTATACTAATGATTCGAATCCCGAAATAATCGACTTAACTAAGTGATAGTCTGATCTAGTACATGCATATCACATTCATGTACTTACATTCCACCTTCAAGTTTGAAGGTGGGTGAGAGATTCGAAACGAGATAGGCTATTGGAGAAAGTCAATTAAGCACTTACTCATTCTCCTAGCTTACTCGTCTTTATTTAGATCAAAAGGACAAATTTATGCATACCAATGGTCGTGGTTCTGTTTTCGACAATTGAACCTAGCAGTTTTTTTCAATCTCACTTACATAGTGAGTTTAGTGCACCACAGGAGTCAATGTATCGTAACTATTTTGGATCAGACAAGGAACGCAAAGATACATAATTCAGTTAACTAAGAATCGAAAAATTGCTGGGAAGTAACAATGGGATATATCGTACCCATCCTTGTTTCATTAGTCTTTAGGTAGGTAGGTGTACTGTGGTATGTGCTACTGATGTCGACAGTTATAAGTAATATGTATCATCAATCGAAAGTGAAATGCCCGGTGGCAGACGATTAAGAAGATCGAAGAAAAGAGAACGAGAACGAAGAATAATTGGTGTGGAACCGAAAGAACAATAAAGTTTGAGACGATAGATTGACATTTTCCAAATGAAGTATTTACTGTATGGTTCTCAGATTTTACCAAGAGATTCCGTAATTTATGTTCAATTTATTTGGTTGTACCCATTGGTGTTATCGTTCACCACAATACGACTGAAGTGAATGTTCATTAATAACTAGTATATTTAACATTTCTAGCCTCCTACGTATCTAATATACTTGTCTACACTACTTGTTATCCGATAATTATAATTTCATTTAAATCATTCATGTATTATCCTTGCTTTTTTTGATCATTGTGCATACTAAATTGTGTCTGCCAAAATATGATGAAACAGTTCTGATATTAGTTCCATTGGTGAATAGTTAACCTTATCCTTTAATCGTTTATTTGTTTAATACATTATGCTTGTTCTTTTATTGAATATTTTATATATAAGCCTATTATTATCTTAGAAATACAGCTTACTGTACCAGACAGCTGTCTTTTCTTTTGATATTCGTTCAGTAATGGTTCTTACGTCAATAATTCGGTCTTGTTAGTAGGCATAACTCAGTCATATTAGATGTAACCAACGGATCAGCCAATTTCATCTAATATTTATCATAGACCCTAAACGTTTTTGTTTATCATGTAAATCTATTTCAAAGCATTCTTTTGTATATATTTTTTCTCAATTTTTTAGGCATTTCATTCACTCCTAAGGAGGTTGGCGAACATCTGGTTAGTGTATTTCAAGCGGGAAAGCATATAGCCAATAGTCCTTTTCGAATTCGTGTTTCTGATAAAGAAATCGGTGATCCACGACGTGTACGTGTTAGTGGACCAGGTTTAATATCTGGTTTATCCAATAAACCTAATCAATTCACAGTGGATACACGTGATGCCGGTAACAATATGGTTTTTTGTATTGTACATAATTTTTCGTGTACTATATCTGTTTGAAGCACTACTGATCACCATATATTTCCATTTTTTTCTGAATTTTTTTCTATCAACATATAAATTAAATAACTATTCAAATACTCTGATAGACTAGACGTAGATTAGTAATTTTGTATTAATACAACTTATATGGCATTGTAGTAAATTAGTCGACTGATATAAAACACTGTACATAACAAGTGTCTCTGTGTAGTGTATGCTACTTATGCTGACAGATATAAGTAGTGTATAGAACCAATCGGAAGTAGAATGCCTTCCATCAGAAGATTGAATAAAAGAGAACAGGAAAGGAAATAGAGAGCAATTGTAACAACAATGGAGTTAGAAGAATTATGAAGTACGTACAGGACAAATGAGGGAAGATGTGTAAATAATGTATTTAATGTATGACTTTCGTATTTTATGAAGGTGCTCTGTCATTTTGCTCTAAACAATAAATTGGTTATTCCCACCAAGTCTTGGTTCACTATATCAGTAGGTTTTGTACGAACTAAGAATCTGTTTTTCTTATAAGTTTACATACTTAAGTGTTTAGTATTAAAATAATCTTTAGTATAGTGAATTTGTGTCATAAAGGTGTACTCCTCGATCAGTAATATCATCATTTCCTCGGTGTATTCCTTGAAACATAATGTATGTTACAATCACATTTTCGTATACCGATCCTCTGTTACGTATGATATTCGATCGCATTTGATAATTACTTTAAAGGTATCTTTCAATATTATAATTTATCTTGAAGTTTACGAAAGCATCTAATCATTGATTTGTAATTATAACTGTTGCCTACACCAGTACATATGTACTTAGTAACAAATCAATCAATATGTTTAGAATACGTACCTTCAGTTATATTTAAAACGATGTAGAAATGGCATACAGAAACTTCTCAGCAAAGAGGTAAGAGGTGAGCACATACATGAACAAATGAAGTTGGAGTAGTTTGTAATTTCTGTTCTCTTTTTTAATTATCAAGATCTTTGATATATATATATATATATATTCAAAGTAACATTTTTATTTTTACAAAGTTATGTAATGTCATAGATTTCGTTTATTTTAAAATATTCTACTGCATGTAGGTTATGCTGGTTTAAGTCTCTCTATCGAAGGTCCAAGCAATGCAGATATAGAATGTCACGATAATAATGATGGTACATGTACTGTTATCTACACTCCAACGGAACCTGGTCAATATGCTATCAATGTAAAGTATGCAAATGTTCACGTCCCAAATAGCCCATTCTGTGTTGATATCGGTGGAGAACCTTCAATGAAAATGATGGAACGAATTACTAGACGACGTGAAGCATCAAAAGTTACATGTGTTGGCAGTCGATGTGAATTAAGTCTACGGCTTACAGGTTAGTGTACAAATGGAATTTCTTAATTATTATACTGTGTGTTGTTTAATTAAATACCGTATATCTTAGTAACTACTGTTTGTATTATATATTTGCAATTGCTAACTTTAACATCATATTGTAACTTAATTATCCTAACCAAACTAAGAACTCATTAATTTGGAATCCATAATTCGATGCTTCACAGTCGAGTTCATATGACTGTGAAATAACAAGCAGTATATCATAGAAAGAATAATTGTCATTTCAGTTCATTTTCTTTTTTCAATCTGCTGGCAGAGTCCCCAAAATATCCTTCACCAAAGTTCCTAGAGGACAACAAGCGCCAGAAAAAATTTTTTTTCAATAAGCGTTGAGTAGAATCTTCGCAAATACATCTAGAAAATGCAGAATCATATGCCAAAGTCTTGATTTGATATTCACTTATAGTGCTACCATATTTAGTATGGTTCCTGAAGTTTCAAGAACCACCCAAGGTCGTGTGTAACTTCATAAATATTCTCGTTTGTCTGTAAGTAAAACTAACCCCAGAGTAAAGCTTTTACGCGCAATTCATGCCTTCTTTCTAGTGTTCCAGTTAACTTGTGCAAGTAGTTCGGACCATCATAACCGACTAGGAAGATAGTTTAGGCGTGTCATGGTAGCAAGACTTATCACAAGCCAAAAAATTAAAAAATATTGAAATGAGTTCCCTGCGTTTTTATTACAAGATGGTATAAATTTATATTTTAACGGAATAAACCAATGGGATATTTCTAATTAGGCTTGTCTTATTTCTTGTAATTCTAAATAACATCCAAATCTTAACTAATCTATTTCTATGTTGTATGCATCACTAATTGATCACAGTTCAGATACCCTATTTAAAACTAAGCAGCACTGGATAAGTAACTGTCTCATCTTAATGATGGGATACCCGATCACTGTTCACATACGAACCGACTGACCACCGGACTCAGGTCTCACAACTAATGCTTGACAGTTAGTACCAATGGATGTGTTTGAATGACTGGTAACTGTCCCTTGTTAGGAAGAATTATATCCATGTCTATTTTATTGATGTAGACTCTTTAGTTCACTCAATAACATCATTCGAAGAATGCAGTAAACCGTATGTGATGTTCTTTTTAGTCTTCTCAACATCTATACACAACTTGCAAGTTATCATTTCCGATTTATTTATAAATTCAAATAGCTATTTTGTTTTTGGTGGAGTTTTGTTCTCTGAGCTGGAACAAAACTCCACCGAAATCATCCACCTGAGCTACAAATTTTCTCCAGCTATTTTGTTTTATTTGTCTTAATGTACATATAAAAGTCAATCTATCATTTTAAAATTATTCCAGACACAAATCCAAATGATTTATCTGCTACAATCACTTCACCTTCTGGTCATACTACTCGTTGTGAAATTGTTCCCATTGATAATGAACATTATAACATTAAGTTTATACCACAAGAAATGGGTGAACATTTAGTAACTGTTAAACACAAAGGAATTCAAATATCAGGTAAATTGTGTTAATCATTAATAATTACTGTATACGAAATATACATTATCTAATCAAAGAGTGTCACGGAATGTCTTGTCTTCATGTTGTGTCATAATTTTTGTAATCACTTTATTATATTTTAATACTTTTCGGAATTAATAATTACTGAAACGACTTGAAATTGTGTCATTCAATGAAAATGTGTAAGAAGATGCAGTCTCATGGTAGCCGGTGACCAACGATTGGTTCATACGCCATTTGTTTCTTCAGGATACTGGAGCCCATGTACACTATTGGTTTGGAATCAGGGTTTTCCAACTTCCCTAGGTGGACTCTCCATGTCCATAAAACCGGTTAAAGCGCCGGTCACTCGCTTTTCGTTTACTCATTTTCGTAAACAACACCTCCGCCACGAGAAGGCAGTGAGTAGGACTTCCCTGACAGAGGCTATATACGCGTGGCCATGTGAAAGCATTTAGAGAGGGAGAGCGAACTCTCCCCACTCTCTGCCGTACCAGGGCATTTGGGGGCAAACTATTACTACTTCACTCATATTCCATAGATTTGTTGTGTTTTTTTGACAAGAAGTGGTCAATTTTAGACTAAACCAAGAAAAACGTTTTATCAGCTTCAATCAGTAGAAATCTATAGATGATGTTTATCACTAGAATACTGAAAATATCATGTTTTCTTTTGTTACGTCTCATAAAACTCATTGTTATCAGAGAGTTTCACATTTGTATGTTAAAGTAGAAACTAGATATAAAAATTATCTTAAATTGTTTATTCAAAATGGTTCATAGTATTCAGTATATTCAATGTTTTCTACTGTCTACTGATATACTGAATGATGATACTTTGTTTAGAGGAGTTTATTATGTTAAAGTAGATAACAGATGTTTAGAAAGTTTTCCATTTTATCATCGTTGTTCACATACTTCTACAATGTATAGTTGAGAAAGTTACAGTACCTTTACTGATTTAAATACTATAACAAATACTACGTTACATGGTATCAATCATAAATTATCTTTGTTTTGTCATTATTATTAAATATTTTCCAGGGAGTCCATTCCACTTTACCGTTGGTCCAATCACTGATGGTGTAGCTAACAAAGTTAGAGCAATAGGTTCTGGTCTTCAAGAAGGCTGGACACATATTACTAATGAATTTTCAATATATACACGTGAAGCAGGCGCTGGAACATTGTCAATAGCAATGGAAGGTCCTAGTAAAGCAGAAATTGATTGCGATGTATGTATGTGGTGGAAATTTATTTTAATGAATAATAATAGTCATTATCGTTTTCATTTTATCCTTAGAAATATTGTTCCTTTCCTGGATGAGCTTTCTGTCTGCTTTGTTCTTTGAATAGTTTCATTAACTCCAGTGGATTGAGATTTGACAAAACTCCTGGTTGATAAAGTAGGTAGTAGATCTTAATCTCCCGAGGTGATTCGGATAGTTATTACATATGCTTAATCACCGCCTGCCTCGACACGTAATGTTTACTCACATAGAATTAAAGTAGAAAATTATTATTGATTGCCAAATTAAAACCTAACACCTATACATCAAGTCCTTGACTGAGACGTGTATTGAGATACAGAATACCTGATTGAGATTGTCGTGGTTATTGTGACCAACTGTTGAATGCATTCCATAATGTGTTAAAAAATCGATCATAATCACACAGATTTATTCTCTCTTGAATTTTAAAGCTGTCATATGTTAGATTCCTGCTCAATGAGCATTGAATTTTTGGGGCATATGTTTGCATCTTCTGAATTCTTTAATCCACAGATAAAAATCAGACATTTAAATTGGTTCACTTGAATTTCATTTTTTTAAATCGTTCACATTCTCAACTTACTTTTCTATCATGAGTGAGATAATCATCGGATGGAGATTTTGATATTTGAAAACACTAATAGCGAATGTTGAATATTGAGTACTGTTCCCCAAAGAATTTAGACAAGATTTATATTGTGTCATTAAAAGATAACTCTCTAGGATTTTGTCGCAGAATGATTTTATTAATTTATTTAATTGAACACATAAATTTGGTACAAAGGGGCACCGAATACATATGCGCCACACCGCCTGATTTGTTGATGAGATAGAGAGAAGACGATTCAACTGAAACACTACTCAATTTATTCCTGATCTCCATTCAAATTAATGTAAAGGGATACATAAATAAATAGGTGACTAATATGACCACAATGCACAAACAATTAAAAGAATATAATTATATCCAAACTGGGCATTCGGGTAAAAAAAATAGAGTACAAAAGGTTGCGTTTAAATAACAATAGCTTTGGAACAAAAATGGGTATGACAGTGAATCATACATCAAACAAAAGCTAATGGTTTGTTAAATAAACTAGGGACAAAACTAAATGTTGGTGTTTTACAATCTTTGAATTAAATGAAATAACGTCCCCCAAAAATAGCTTTCGTCGTTTGTCATGGCTTCCTTGTTTCTCTATTTACATCATAAATATACTGTATATAATTTCTTTCTTGTTTTATTTTTTTTCTCATCTCAGGAAAGACGCGATGGTTCATCAGCTGTACTATATCGTGTTACTGCACCAGGCACATACATCTGCTCACTTAAGTTCAATGATGAACACATTCCTTGTTCCCCATTCCGTATACATGTTTCTGACTCCACACAAACTAGACGTATAGCATCTTACATTCTACCCTCTCGTACCACTGATGTTCACTCTGCTCGCAGTACATCCAGTAAAGAAGAAACACTTCGAGTGAGTTTGTTAAACGTATTATTTATATATATTTATATTGGTTTAGGGAGAGGCAATCTTAAAGATTATTGAATTCTCGTCTTTCACACTACGGACTGACCTAAATTAGACAGCTACCATAAATTAGGAAGCCGTGGATATTTGTTTTATCCTAATATGGGATCCAACCGGCAATCGAACGTCGGGTCTTAAGGTCTTGAGTCAAGTGCTTATCCTTCAGACTACTACTAGTATAAAATTACTATTAGATTTGACAATCTCTACAAATGCTCTATATATTAATGGTAATTATAAACTCACTAGTGACTAATTTCGAGGTTTTATTCCCAGAGCCTTAGTGAAAAACTGTGGTCAGTGGTATTCATATTTAACTTACCATATCTTTTTTTGATTAGATTGGACGTCCAATAGCCTTCACTGTACATCATGTTGAAACGCCTGGATATATTTTAAAAGCAAAAGTATCAACTCCTTCAGGTACTCATGAAGATGCTATTGTTCAACCTATTGATCCAGATCAATTTGTAATCCGTTTTGTTCCACGTGAAGGTGGTCCACATTTAGTTCATGTACATTCTGTGCCTATAAAGGATTCAAATAAAGCTGATTGGAGTTTTGGTCCAAATTCATTGTATAAATCAATTCAAGGTTCACCTTTTCGACTTGTAGTTAGTCAGCATGCTGCTGATCCAGGTATGGTATGTGCCTCTGGAGAAGGATTACGTAAAGGAAAAGTTGGTACGTTCACTGATAACATTTTTTAAAATTAATTAATAATAATACCAATGTTATTATATGTGAAAAATATATTTGAAATATTCTCAGCGATTGAAATTTAACTAATTCCAACGTTTCGTCCAGCTAACTTGTCTGGACTTCTTCAGGGTGGAATAATCAAAATCAAAATTATCAAAGAAATATATAGCTTTTAACAATCGGGATTATACTGTATTCAACCAATCATATATGGATGTTGATGTTTTGTAAAATAGGATTAAAGGAACACAAACAATGTTTGAAAAATGTTCCAAAATCCTCGATTAATTTAAAGAAACTTGAAAATAAATCGGCGATAGCGTTACATGCGTTAGAAACAGGGCACAAGATTAATTTTGAAGGGACCAAAATACTTCAGAAAGGTTTTAACACCCATAAAGAAAGATTGACAGCAGAAGCGCTGCATATATGGGCGAACAAGAACAGCCTGAACCGAAAAGATGGTATTCAACTGGCAACTACCTGGCAAATTTCGTTTGACAAGTAAAAAATTTGGAACCTATCTCTTGTTTAAACCTGTTTTTTAATATCACATGCATCGTTATTATTATTGAAAGAATTCAATGAGCTTTTTTAAACAATACAATTTATGTTTTGACATGTACATCGATGTTTCATTATCAATTTTTCATCCTTGAACTTGAACTTTATTTATTCCTTCATATCAATATCTCACACATACATACTTAACTACACACTCACACACATACGATTTGTTACTCAGTTAATTATTTCCATGTAGTTGATTTCTTCACATGATTTGTAGTTAACTGATTCATTTTATCCTATTTTACACAAAAATAATCAACATCCATATATGATTGGTTTAACACAGTATAATCCTGATTGTTAAAAAGCGACATATTTCTTTGATAATTTTGATTTTGATTATTCCACCCTGAAGAAGTCCAGACAAATTAGCTGGACGAAACGTTGGAATTAGTTAAATTTCAATCGCTGAGAATATTTCAAATATAATTTTCACATATAATGACTTCTCTATACTTGGCGCTCAATTACTGTCAAACTATTCGTTTTAATCTTGACGAATATTCGTATAAATACCAATGTTATTTTGAGATAATCGTGGATATTTCGATTCAGAAAATGTTTTCATAAATAATGGATGGGCTTTAAATTTAATCAAATAACTATTCATTACTTGAATTAATGAAATATTCATTAGCCAAACACAATTTATTATGATCGAATACAATCACACTTTCATCTTCTATTTAACCAATTTTACGAATATAAGGTGTAAGCATTTAATAGAGCGTTATATCTTGCCCCTTTTTTTAAAGAAAAAAAACTCATTCCTATACTGTACTCTTGCCCTTATTTCTAGCTATCTCATTGTATTCTTAATTCGGGCATAGATCACCTTTAAGTATATACGTTACTTTATATCTTCTCTATAATATTTACAATACTTAAATTCATTTGATTTTGTTTTATTTAAATCTTTCCATTGATGTTTAGAACGGTAATTGTTATTGGCATATGCGCATACTGTGCGTATTGCCTCAATATGACGTAAATTCACAAGCATTATAAGCAAAGATGGATGATGGCTCGTGTTATACTGCTAGTCACTATATCCATCTTTATTTACGACACTTAATTTATATAGTTTTAAATAAGCTAATATCAATTATCTATGACAATATTTCCGTCCAATTCTATTGATATTTGTTCTTTATAACTAAATCTCTCTTATATTCTCTCAATGAAATTACTTCAAAGCTATTTTTACACTTTATATTACTTATTTCTAAAACCTAACACACACACACAGACACTTTTAACGAATCTGATAATGTTCGTTACTCTATTAATCCAGCTTTCTCCCATTTATTATATAATTCAAACTGGTAAACTTAATGTATTATACCGATTGTATTAATTATGATATAATAATAATTGCTTATTACAAATGTACACACATAACATTAGTCCTTGCAATTCTATACTACTTATAAAACTCAATTGATTCACTTGAAATGTTTAATCTTTCATCATCATCATCATGACAATAATTAAAGAAGTATTCATCAAATGTATTGTATATAAAGTTCATCTTGTCAACAATATAATTTTCTTTTTTAATGTATAATCTCATTAATTAGATTATTATTATTATTATTATTCTAGATATGAAGAATTCCTTTTTCGTTAATACTACTAATGCTGGTTGTGGTGTACTAAATGTCACAGTCGATGGACCAAGTAAAGCAACTGTTACTAGTCAAGAACATGATGAAGGTTATGCATTTTTCTATACACCAACTGTTCCAGGTATTTATGAAATAACTATTAAATATGGTGGTAATTTTCATATAAGTGGTTCACCATTTCGAGTAAGTTATAGTAATTATATACTTTATTTTTCTCCTACTCTCTATTATTATCATAAAAATGTAATACATCGAATAATTAAACAAACTATCATATTGGTCACCATTTAATGATCCATCACTTGTAAGTACGTCAGTTCTTAAAGAGGTTACTCGCGATTCGGATGGCTCTATGGAAACGTTTCAGATTATAAAAATCGTAGCGTCATTTCGAATCCTACAGAGAAGCTAAGTCTTGCTACTGAGTGCCATTTAGCACAAAACTTATATTTAAGGTCTCTTGCAACTATTCAATACCAAACCATAGTTCATCCAATGTCAAGTCACTTGCACTAGTAACCACGTTTCAACTTTATAGATGAAATTCAGTCACCACCAAAGGATTAAACAGCATGAGATTTCCCCACTTCCTTAGTGATCAATTAATTGTAAATATAATTATACATCATCAAATATCTCAATTTGTTATTATGATTAAATAAATTTCAAATACGAGTAGGTTTGTTTCACTTTTCAGCCATTCTTTTGTCACCATAGTGGACAATTATACAGATTCTTTTAGAAGAATTAACTGAGTTAATTTTATACTGAAATCTATGTCATCTGTATATATTTTGTATTCACTTATGTGAATAATTATGTTATCATTTCCGAGCTGTTCAATCAATATTTGCTGTTCAGAAACATATTTCAGTTCATTTTGTCATTGTATGCCATCAGTGTACTTTTAAGGTTGTTTTTTTTTTATTTTAAAAAAATACTATTATTACTTGTCTTTCTAATTAGGTTGAAGTTACAGGAACGCCTAGATCAGAAGTTACTGATTCTCGTTCAGAAGATCGTCAATCAAATGTTACTTTAGAAACTGTTGGTAAAACAATGACAGGAGTATCAGCTTCAGCTGAACTAGAAAATCACTGCTCAGGATCTCATCCTGAATTAGTCACTTGTCAAGGACTTGGTTTAAAATATGCAGAACGTGATCGTCTAAATTGTTTCAATGTTGATGCAAGCCAAGCAGGTAGAACTTTATATTAATCAAATTTTAGTCATTATTGATCATTTATTGATCCTTTATTTTTCTCACTTTTATTTCTTACCCAATAGGATCTTGATTACATTCTAATCTAATTTGTTATCAATCATTTTGCACAGACTAAAATACGTTCGTTTATTTAATAATAATAATAATAATAATAATAATAATAATAATAATAATAATAATAATAATAATGTAATCTATTCTGAAAATAATAATTCATTCCAGTTTCCAAGCATGATCAGTTTAATGTAGATAATAATATTCATTGTAGAGAACAGATATATGATATTAGATTGTTTCAAGTTTTCTAGTTTGAAAACTATTCAGATAGTACATTCTTCACACGTATTACAACAATGAAAGGTATTAGCCAAAAACTTTTAATTGCTTTTAAGTTGACATCCTGTTGATGTTTGAACGGTACATTTAAGGTCATTTCCTGTGCCATAACGAATTGATTATAACCATCTATAACGGAAGCAAGAGAGTACAGAAAAAAGGCAATATTTACTACGATAGGTTAATTAGGTTTACCATAATACATATGTCAGGTTATTTTTCTGATCTACTATTCGTCTTAGATATTATTCAGATTAGTTACGGTTGCCAGGGAAGGTGTAAGTTTAAAGGCAGGTAGTTTTACTTAGCGGATTTAATGATAAAAATAGTTAAACATTTAAAGTACCTTTAATCTTACTTATGGAACAAGATCATTTAATGTATTTTCAGAGTAACAGTAAGCATCGATGCAGCAAACAAAAGGATGGGAGTGATTTTATTTCAAGGATAAATTGTGGTTGATTATTCCAGAGTTGAAAATTTATTGGTAAAGTAAATTCATATAAAGAGATTATTTAAAATGTGATTGTTTCACTAAAGACAAAGAGTTACACATGCTGCATATTAAATTGTTTCACTGGATGTACAAGATAGTTAATCAAGTATTTTGAAGAAAAAGATTAGATTTAGTTTGAGTCCGCTCTTCCATCAAGGGTCCAGTTCAAGTTTATTACGTTTGGATTCATACTTTGAGGTACAGTCAGTCCCCAGAATGCGAAATGTGAATCGTCTCTGAACAGATTCCAACTTTGATTCATCATTTATGTGAACACTACTAAAAATAATCGCACAGCATTGTGAGAGTGGTCAAGCGAAAACTTTGTACATCATAATACGTGATTCGTTGTTATAGAGATTACGAATTGCAGGAACCATAGAACTTTGGGACCTGGAGGTCTGTTTCAACACCAGTTCTGCGAAGGACAAATCGTAAAAGTACCCAAGTCCACTATTGTATGTAACCTAGATATCACCTTACCATTTATGGCAAGATCCAAGTTGAGTGATGTATTACCGGAACACATCCATCATCATTTAAGTTCCAACTACCATTTTGAGCACCACCAGGCTACCTTATTGGGCTCCATACTGACGTAGTTGTGCATGTTGTTCAGCTCATGAGAAGAAAATGAATACAGTACTTTAGGATCATCTGTATATAGAAGAGACTTGCCCATTCAAAATAAGTCCCAAATACCATTGATATAAACTAAAAAAAAGTCAAGGGTCTAAGACTGTTGTGTTTTAAAAGAAATTTATGGGTAAATTCAACTTATAAGCTTAAACATTTGTGCCTAACAAACTCCAAGACAAGTCACCTTCTAGCATTCAACTTATTAGGATTGTCTGACTGTAAAATTGTCTCATTTTTTTCTTTTCCAATTATTTATTTTTGTGTAAATTTAAATCAAAATAAGTTCCTATTGTTATTTAATACTGCAATTGATCAGTCTCATGTTGGTATATGTGCATCCTGTGCGGATTACCTCGATATAGCCTTAAGTCACAATATTTTTAAGCAAAAATGGTTAGCGGCTATCAGTGGAATCCAGGACGCGTGTTTCGTCCTACTTGTGACTTGTCAGCTGGATGTTGCGGCATCCCAGAGTTGCAGTCCTAAATAACAATGGGAAGATACAAGTAAAACAACATCAGGTGAATTTAAACTTCACACTATTGCACAAACGCAATAGCGTTTGAAGTGAACAGAACTTAGTTCGAGTCCCGGGGTAAACATCAACTCTGGGATGCAGGTAAATCCAACTGACGAGTCCCGAATAGGGCGAAACGAACATCCTGGATTCCACTGCTAGTCACTATCCAGCTTTGCTTAAATCAAAAATGTTTTTTTTACTTGTATAAACGTTTTTCCGATTGATAACCCATACCCTATTTTTTTTTAATTTTAGGTAATGATGTTCTACTTATTGGTATTTGTGGTCCAAAACAAGGATCTGAAGAAGTGGTCGTTAAACATTTATCCAATAATCAATACACTGTATCATATCGTGTATTTCAAAGTGGTAAACACTTTTTAGTAATTAAATGGGGTGATCAAGATATACCAGGTAGCCCATTCGTGATTGATATCCCTTAGAAACACAATTACAAACTGTTTATAATAATGATAAAATCAGCGTAAATAAAATAATCAATTAATTTTAATTAACGGAATCATTTCACATAGATCAATATGTTTGTCTATGCGTGTGTGTGTGTGTATGTGTGTGTGAGTGTGTATGTGCTATTTTTGTGTATCTTCTTAAATTGTTAAATTTTTTTTTGATGCCTCTCATATTACTTATTTCTTGTTTAAATTTCCCCATTTACTAAAAAAATAAAACTGCACAAATTTTGCTTGCCATCATTAGCCATATTAGTCAGTTATATTTGAAAATGCAAATTATTCATTCATATTGTATCGTTTCTTTTTTCGTTTTAACCAACAACAAAAAAAAACTATCAAACAATTTGTCAAGTGCCTTTCTTTTGCATAGAAACATTACCTGCTTTCTTCATTGTCTGCCTTATTATGATTATTATCACTATTGTTACCATGATTAAGGTTTGTACAAACCAAATGCCTAACATTCAAATATTATTCCTTTTTTTTTAATTTTTCGTATACACTTTATAAATCTTCTTTATGTTACCATAGCCACACACAGAGACACGCACATACACACTTTTTTTCTGTTTCATCAATCATTCATTATATACAACATGAGATCAGTTCAATTCTTCTATTTGTTTCTAATTTTAACAACAAAGTCGAATGATTTATGTGTGTAATTCTCAATTTTCAAATAAATTGGTACTATTCATATTTTATCTTACCTTATATGAAATGTATATTGGGGTTGGGTTAGGTGGCAATTTATGCGATATTGTAGATTGAATGGGACAATTCCGTTTTTTTTCTTTTTACTAAACTAGACGTTTTGTTTTAAACCCTAAGTTCGACTCTGTACTATATCGAGAAAAAATGTGAAACAATTATAAGTAGGTTTTAGTAACAATGTCATTAATAGTATCTGTTTACGTGTGTATATTGAATGGACTGGTATTTTCCTTGTTGCTTTATTAGTTGTTAGATAATGTAATTAGATATCAGTAAATCAGATACAGTGGTATGTGCCATTCATACGAGTGATGATTTCCGTTAACGGTACATCATATTTCTTGACGTATAATTGGCTGATCGGTTAGTCACAATAAAAATAGGTAATCTGTTTGGTTAAGCCAACTGTAATAATGAAGATTAGTTTGTGGTTAACACTTCATATTATGTAGTGTTTTTGTCATCGTTATGTATTCTTTTGTTGCAACTGAATCGTTTGTCTATAATTCTCCATTCAGTATTTATTTTCTAGTGTGATCAATCCTTATGGTGTTCTGAATAGTCTCAAACCACTCGTAGCCTAAATAGTTATATGTTTGACTGCATTTTCTATCCTGTAGCTTCCTAAAGTTCAGTGACGAGTTTTTGTTGATAATTGTCTTCTATAATTCTTCAGACATTATCATTTATATTGCCTGAATTGACTCACTGTGATCAACTTTTTTAATGATTCATATAAGCGATAAATTGATCAGTCATATCTTGTTTTCAATACGCACTACTCTTGCTTAATATGATCTCAGTGCAGCCTGGATTTACTTGAATGTCATACACTTTAACTGCTACAAGACACAAATTTGAACATGATGTGCAATGTTTCAGTTGACCAAAAGATGAAATCTTCTCATGACAGTTTTATTTTGCTTCACAAAATGACAGATTAGTAAGTGATCGAATTCATATCTGTTGTTATCACTGACAAGCAGTCGTTCAACTCAGAAAATGAATTAATTGGTATAAACTTCTATAAATTCAGGCTTTATCTACATCCACAAACTTTAGGATGGATCGTAATGTTAGTGATGCAAATTCAGACAGAACGAGATGCTTATCAAGTTTTTAGTAGCCTTTATTTGATAGGACTTATTTCCATTCAATTCTAACCGATCAAATGTTAACATGACAGTTCACGTCTCTCCAAATGTAGATCTTCCATAAACTGTTTACACAATTTGCATCGGCTGATAATAATAACATATTCTTAGGACGCTTCTGTACAAACGTCTAAATGAGTAAAGGCCTGACAGATGAATTTGTGTAGACACTTTACGTATTCGTAAGACCTACCACCAGCATCTATCGTAGCAAATGGATTTGTTGACGGTATGAGATGGCGACCTACTGAACATGTGTTTTTTGTGTGATTAGTATTGTATCCTTTTTCTATATGTGATGATTTATATTTAGTTTGTAGCGCGTTTCGTCTCATATTTACCTCGTCAGACTGTTGTACTTCTATACCAGTGGTTAATATTCATACTAAGACTCGAATTTAGCACACTGCTTCAAACGCTTGACACGTCATTCATCAACTACGCTCCTGAGTTCAGACAGACACTAACTTGTGAACAAGTTCACTCTGAATGCATATATAGCAACAGATACTAATCAAGTACAAATTTGAATATCAATCAACAATGTCAAATAATCAAACTTTTAATAATTCATATTTATCATTGTGAATTTTCTGATTTATTTTAATTACGTAATTGATCATCATTTATTATTATTATCAACTAATTAGTTCCCTGATGACTAGACACTAAATATACCACTATGAACAGTTGTCATACAATATATACACTTGTTTGTTTTTTAAATTACTTACAATCAATAACTGAACATAATAGAAGTTTGATTCAGTCAAAATTATATAAAACATGAAAGAAAATCTTATTTTAAAAATAAGAAAAAAATCACTTAACAACAGAATAAGAAATAATATGGAAAGAGTATAATCTTGGCAACAAACATTAAAATCTGTAAGAAAAGTCAATTGTATTAAAAAAAGAAAAGAAAAAGAAAAAAGAAACCCTATTGAACTCGCTTAATCATCCTGGTTTCAACAAAGTTCTATTTCAGAAAACAAAAAATTCTCTCTTGTTGATTGTTTGTTTGTTTGTTTTTCTCTTTTGTGTATAAGGCTCGATTACTTTTTCTCTCTCAATGAATTCATTCTTCAATTAAGCTGATTTGAATCATTTCAACGATATTAATTTTATTCATTATATCATTTTATGTATACTGTACAATCACATATCATTACTCACTACTACTATTACTGATACTAATACTACTGATAATATTTGATAGTAGTATACATAGAGAAAGATAAGAAATTGACGATTTTTAATTTAACAATAGTAAATTCTAAATATAATTAAAAATATTAATAAATAATTATAAGAAGAAATAATTGAATAGATTGATGAAGATTGATTATTGGTGATAAAGAAACTTCGTGTTTTTTTAATTGGTTTCGATAGAAAACGTAATGCTTTAATCCGTGTCAAATTTTGTTGTTGTTGTTGTTGATAATCATTATGAATAGTTGTATATTGTTGAATTGGTCTTGTGAATTTATTTGGTGATAAATAAAAACTTTTATTAAATGATTTCAATATTGGAGTTATAATAGTATTATTAATACTACTACTACCACTTGTAGAATTGTCATTTTGTCTTTGTGCTAAAAAGAAATTAAAAAAAAACAATATGAGAGGTATTGTTACCAAGGTTTGACTTGATAATCTCGAATATTCAGTAAAGGGTGGTGGAGATTATTAAGTTATTGATTGAGATCATGAACTGAATGATGTTAGATCACTGTTGAAAACTTGGAAGCACTGGATGGCAGTTTCGTCCTATTGTGGGACACCTCAATAGTGCACATCTACGATTCAATATATCAATCAATAATCTCTGCAGCCATATACTGATAATTAACATGTGCTCACTAGTGACTATTTTCGTGAGGGAATTCTCGGAGTTTTAACGAAAAGTCGTGACCAGTGGAGTTAATCCGCATCGGTTAGAGACAGGTATGTACTTCAGTATAATGGAAGATGGTCGCGGATTGGTTGAGGTTAGACATGAATATCGTTGGATGCTAACTCAGTGGTCTGGTAGGTTAAGCGCTCACGCGCGTGACTGAAGGCCTCGCGTTCGAATCCCACGAGCGGGTTTGTGAATGAGCACTGCTGAGGAGTCCCACAATGGGACGAAACAGCCGTCCATTGCTCCCAGGTTTTCAATGATGATCTAACATCAATCGGTTCAAGATTTCAATAAATAATTTCGAATTGATTAGATTGTTAAAAATAAAAATAGGATGTTTATAGATATCTTAATGAGTAGAAAAATTCGATTTTCTGATGTTTCGTGACTTACACTGAGTTACAAAACATCAGCAAATCTAATTTCTCTACTTATTGGGATATTACAAATATATTATTTATTTAAAGCAATAAGATAGGATAATGACATAGCTGTTATCACTAAGATTGTTGATAGATTGGTTTATGATTTAATAGTGAAGGATAATGAAGGTTATTGATTTAAATTTGACTAACCATTATCAAAAACTCATATGGTTGCTGATATGTGTTAGATCTGTGAGAAATACACATTGCATTTCACATCATATTATCTAACTCATCATCAGCTTGTATTTTATCTGGCTCTACGTTATTTATAATCCAGGAGAATTTTCTAAATTACAATGATTTAACAACAAGCAAGAACTAGGATTGAATACATGATTGATAGACTCTTCTTGAAACAATTCATGAAAGCGGAATAGGGTGGACTATCATCTTCAGAGAAAAAACAAACATTAAGCAGGTATTGTGTTTTTACCTGTTATGACTTGATACAAATATGAGATTGAACTAAATGTTTTGTATCTCTTCCAATACTCAAATGCATCTTCTTTCGTTAACCAATTTATTTAACTATAAAATTTATGATTACTTGAATTTATCCAATTTACTCAAGTCATAGGTATTCTCCCCTTTTCAGTTTACTGTAATTATCATCTTTTAGATTAAACGTTTATTATTTTTTTAATACTATTGTGATGTGTGCTACTAATGACGACAGATGCCCCCAAATGCCCTGGTACGGCCGAGAGTGGGGAGAGTCCGCTCTCCCTCTCGAAATGTTCTCACATGGCCTCGCGTATATAGCCTCTGCCAGGGAAGTCCTACTCACTGCCTTCTCGTGGCGGGGGTGTTGTTTACGAAAATTAGAGGACGAAAAGCGAATGTCTGGCGCTTTAACCGGATTCCAAACCGACAGTGCACATGGGCTCCAGTATCTTGTGGGAACAAATGGCGTATGAATCAATTGTTGGTCACCGGCTACCATGGGACTGCATCTCCTTACGATGCTCCACTGCCTTGTGGATCAGACCCTCAGGTCAAAGGCTCGGGGTGTGGCTCCCTAAGAAAACCACCTGTTTCGGTCTGGGCACACGGGCAGTGTCACAGCCCTCATACATATAGAATGAGATTTGTGTGGCGCATATGTATTTGGTGCCTCTTTGTACCAATATCTATGTGTTGAAATAAATAAATAATGACGACAGATATAAGTAGCATATATCATCAAACAAAAGTGACCTGACAGTAGAAAGTTAATAAGATCAAAGAAAAGAGAATGAGAACAACGAATGATTGATGTGGAAATGAAGAACAATGAAGTCTGAGAAAATTGATTGACATTTTGCAAATGAATCATCGATTGTCCTCACTGATGTTCTCGTTCACTACATTAGAACCTAGAATTTTTATGATATACTCTCCAAACACATTATATATTTGAAATTCATTAATATAAACTTTATAATGTAAATGTCATGCATTCAATCTACTTCATTTTGCTGAAATTGTTAATCAACGATCAAGAATAACAATCAGAAAAAGTTA